CATAAATGGCTCTTGAAGCAGCACCACACAGCAGAAAACCACCATCTGCAGCCACAATGCACTGAACCCCTTAACTCTGGCCAGTGAATAGACTGGACAACTGAATATCCAAACCCAAGTCACAAACCCTCTCCCAGCCTGCAGGTATCTCAGTTTGACATTTTTATTTATGCTATTGCTCACCAGCGTGTGTGTCATTAACTGGACAGGGACAATGCAAAGGATCTCAAGCTGATAGTTACTGACTTCTGTACTTGTGATTCTACATTACTCCATTATGTGTGGCCACATTAAAAAAAAAATAAACCAAAACCAAACCACAGCATAGAACAAATTTGGAATAAGGTAATGCTGGGAAAAAAGTGAGCAGTGGCTTCTCTCCAGTGTATTTTTTCTTTTGAAGTCTATAGCAACTATGCTACAAATGGACACTTAAACAGATGAAGAGCTGGTCTTCATTTGGGGTTTTTTGGTTGGGCGGTTGGGTTTTTTTACTATTCTTTTTTTCCTCCTGCACATTCTCCTGCATTAATTGTTCTATTACTCTTGGACACCTCCACCGAAACCTCTCAGCATTCCCAGCAGCTGACGACAGAAAGCCCTTCCCCCAGTCTTGGCTGGGCTCACAAAACCTGAGGAGGGCACAATGAGTCCGTGAGCAGAACAAGTGCCACAGAAATACAGCGACAGCTCCCTCTGAGCAGTGTCACTCTGTGGACATTTATCCTGGACACCTTTTTTGATGTACATATTTACAACCACCAAGGTGATTTCCTGTGGCACCTCTTGAGTGCAGACTACACACTCCAGTCCTTCAAAACACGTTATTCCCACCTCTCTGATGATTTTGGCAGAGACTTTCCAGGGCTCCTCACCAGCTGCCGGAACCTCACCCCAGCCCAGGAGCGATGCTGAAGCAACGCAGGCGTGTGGGCCAAAGCTTCAGGCTTCATCCCTTTTTCCATATGCAAATGTTCCATAAGCTTCTGGGTGCTTTGCATATACACTTGGATCTTCATTATTGTACCACAGTGTAGCTTTACTTTTGAATTCCCATAGTGTATTACACCAGTAAGTCTTGCAGGTCTGAGCAATTCCAAAGTCTTCCTTGCGTGCTGTAAATTTATAGGAAACCATGAATTCCTAACTACTGCTGTGGCAAAACTGCCTTCCCTAAAGGAGGCTTGATGTAATCTATTATCCAGCTCAGGTTTAAAACAAAACAAAGCAACCAGGTAATTACTCACCTGTTGTTCCTGTGGATAAGATGTGTGTGGGAGCTCTGCAGAGGTGGGGCAGCAACAGAAATGCCCAGCTGCAGAGCTGGAAGAGAAGCCACACAAATGCAATTTGGGATAAAAGGCAGTTCATGGAGTTCCCATTTAAGCACAAAGCAATCATAAATCCAAATCACACAAGAAAAAAGTTTATTGAAAAATAAATTCTCCCTAGTTTTTTTCTACAACAGTGAAAACAAAGCATCTTTCTATGCCATTAAAGTACAGACATTTACTGTTCTAAAAAAAAAAAAAAGAAAAAAAAAATCCCATCCTATTGAACCCCAGAGACTTGGCAGTATCTGAACCACTGCGTTCTGTTCTGTTTGAATCCAGCTGCTTGAACGTAATATAGTGGAACACAACCATTGAAATAAAACAAAGGATCAACCTGTTAGGGGAGAATTCAAACCAAATACCCTATAGTACGAGCCTGACCCTGAAGTTCTCGTGTACATTTAAAAATCCTCATTGACTCCAAATTATTGCCTGCAAAAAGCACTATTTTACTTTCAGTGATTTCAGTAGGGATTTTTGTTAATTTACAGTGCTACAAGGCTTATTCAGACACTGACCCCCTTCACCAGCGGAGAGGGAGACTCCTTCAGGAAATGATGCAGATAAAAACCCAAAGAGCTGCCCAAAATTGCCCTCTGGAGGATCTTCCCTCAGCAGTCAGCCTAGCAAGCTCAGGGGGATCAACTTCCCCAAGCCCAAATTAGCTTTGTAAAGATTCCCTTATATTTTTCTTTTAGCTCTCTTATAATTTTCAGGGTACCTTTCCTCATAAAACTTACTCATTTTTCCTTTGGTAAAAACTGCCATTTCCTCCTCCTCTGCTGCATTCCTTGCAAAAAAACCCAAATAAACCCATGACTCCTTAAAAATGGTTTTCACTGTCACTGTACTGCAACAGACCTGTTAATGAACATAACAAATTAGTTCTGGGTGTAACTCTATTAAAATTAACTTCCCTCAGACAGCAATTTAACTTGATTTATCGTGTACCTATTTGATACTTCAGACTACTCTGCAGCTGCTGGAATCAGAGCCAGGCTGCGTTGCATGCGCTTTGCCAAGTGCCTGCATGGCTCCAGGAAATGCCAGGGCGTTATTTACATGCTCTCCTTAAAGCCAAGGACTCTGGGGGCTCCTGCAGGATGCAGGCACTGACCCAGGGCTGGTATTTGCAGTGACAGCTCAGCTCAGACCGACGCATTCTCCTGCGCAAGAAGCAGCCGTGCATTTTGGTGGCTGTGAAATGCGGGGACAGCAGGTCCTCAGTGCTCCAGTCCTGCGAGCCCTTACACGAGGTGACAAATTCTGGTCCCATGCACAGCTCACCTAAGTAAATGGCACCTGCACTGATCTTGCCAGCAGAGAGAAGGGTTTCACTCACTCGAATAAAACTAATGCTTTTTAATACAGTTTCTGTGTGTTGATGGTGGAGTTATTACTGATTCTATCAAAACTTTGAGGATCTGGTTTTATTTCCCATTTAATAAACAGGTGGCTTAATGTTGTTGAGAGAGGTCTGCTGAAATAAGACATACCACTGCATGTTCATAATTAATGGATATGAAAAGGATTACACCTACAAAAATGGGTGAGTCCCAATGTGCAAGGCACATCAGTAATGGTTGCACTTTGTTGCTTTTCCCTGGAAGAAAGAACACAAATGATGCTGCACATCTGAGGCACTCTGGGGTTCAGCCTCTGGTATTTTCAACACATTCCTACAGTAAACATTTTACACTTGATACATGGAGTTGCTGTTTACACATTCAATTTAAATATAATATTTGGAAATTACAAACTAATTTAAAAAAAAAACTATAGAGCTGCTTAAAAATATGAAGATAAGATTTAAAGTCGCTGCCCATAAAACAGTATGCTTTGATGTTACCTTTACAGCAATATTATTAAAGCAAATCTCAATGAAATTGTATCTGTCCCTGGGCTTTTCAGCCTGAATGAAAACATACATCTGTCAGTGTATTATTCTCCTGGACTTTACAGTGATCCCTAAAATGATGGGACCAAAGGAGAACTACAAATGGAAAGAGATCAAAAGTCAGAAGCTGAAGGCATAGCAGCTGTAGGGCAAACACCACAAAGAAACAGCCATGCCAAATGTTAGCACCCCTGGAAAAAAGACTGAAATTGGAAACTGATAACTCCTGATCTCTTTAAAAGCAAACAAACAACAAAACAGGCCATTCCTCTGACTCCTAACTGCAGCCTGAACAATGATTTAACCAAATTTTCAACTGACACTTTACTGATAAACTTTAATACTGATTACTTTAATAATCAGTAACATCAACTTAGCCAGAGCCGATATGCTGTGACAGCGAGCAAAACTGGCTGCTGATATGTGTGTAATATACCCTGCAAGTGTTTGGTCTTTATAATGTAAGATACAGTGCTGTATCTTTATTAAAAAGAGAGGGCTGCTTTTTTAATTTTAAGAAATGTTAATGGAGGAGTTGTGCTATCACTGAAGCAGTGGGAGTCACGAAGTTAATTAGACTTGGATGAGATTGTATCCAGCCTGATTCATCCCATTTAATTTAATTTACTAGCAAAATCTGGTCCTGAAATGCACTGTGAGCAAAAGACATACCTGAGAAAGCAATTTGGATTTTGTTTATGTGAAAAGTGCTACAAACTCATAAATCACCTTTGCAATTTAGATGGGCCACTTGTTCCTGAGAGGGGAGGGCATGTCTTCATATCAAGGACAAACTGGAGATGATGACTAGGATTTTAGAGGACAGGAGAACAACATGACTAAATGAGAAGACATCAGCTCACAACCTGATTGGGGCTGATGATATCAAGAGACACCTTCAACAAGTCTGAACCTTGGCAATCAGCAAGTTACAAAAGCTGGCACAAGTAGCTGGGAGCAGAGTGCAGCTGGGAATACACAGAATCCTGGCTCTGGCTACAACTCCATTCCAGCTGATCCATGAAACCTGATCAGCAGCTGTTTTGCAAAATACAAAGTAGTAGCATTAAAAAGAAAAGACATCTGCAATAAGCTGAATAGTTTCAGCTGAGTTTCCTCCCCCCTTGAGAGCTGTAAATTCAGGTATGATAAAAGGACTGTACTCTCTGGTGGCATCAGGAATCACCCCCTGCACGTCCATGCCGAGCCATCTTTATCTGAAAAATCAACACCTCACAGACTTTAATCAGCTGTGGCTGTTTCTGGAGGTTTTCTGTTAGCATTGTCTCCTTGGGGAATGTTAATGGCTTTCCTTTGCTCCCTGGTCATTGAACAGACATCCCGTCCCAGCAGGAGCTCTCATGCCAAATCACAGATACTCAGTAAATTGCATTCTGCTTGCAGAAGCAATGCTTTGCAAGAATTATTATAGTATCTTTTATCTTGTTAACCCTTAACAGTTTTAGAACAGATTTCTCCACTACTTAAAAATACTCAAAATTCACAACTCTAACTTGTAGACTCATTAGCATTATTTACCTGGAATTAGTGTTCCATTATACTTGTTCAGACAGTGTCCATATTCCAAACACACATCCAAACCCCAAAGAAAGTAAAAAAAAGGCACATAAACATTAAATATTTGTAGAAACAGAATCTGATATAAACAAGCAAACACACTGCTGCAACTATAACTTACAAAAAGAAACATAGAAACTAAGCAAAAAATGCAAAAAGCAACTCTATACATGTGCAAATCAACTTGCATATATGAAATAAATGAGGTTTTTATTGGCATTTTTAAACAGTGTGTATTTACCAACTTTACCTTTCAAAGGCAAGCCTTTTATGTTAATTTTAATAAATATGTAAATGCTTCTCTCAAGTTTTCTAATCTCGTAGGAACAAGATTTTTGAAAAAAAACTAGGTCACATACAAAAATACAAAATTTTAAAACAAAGAATGTCTTGATATGAGAGATATGTTTAAAAGCTTGTAAAATGGTTTTGTATTCAATTTTTGACATTTTTTTCCCCATCAATCACAGATCAATATATTCAAATGCAGTCATGCAAAAACCTGGCTTCTGAGCAAAGGAAGCTGCAAGCTTTACTCTCAGACTGACGACAGCAGCACAGTCCCATCTCTAACTTCCTTGTTTAAGTGCAAGAATTGGACTACACCTTTATTCTTTAATTAGGAAAGAAAATACTTATGGAACCTGGACAGAAGGCTGCCCGCTATCCTGAAATGTGGATATATATTATAGGTTTTTGTAAATTACTCAGACTTTCAAATAGTCCCACATGGATTTGCCTGAGTGCTTATATGCAGAAGGATTCACTTATCTACCTGCATGAAGGAACACGCTGTGCGATGGGAGTGCTGAACGGAGTTGAGTGAGCAATGCTTGCAAAGTTTATGCACTTACAGTTCTCACATGATAATCTCCTTTTACAGAAATTTAGACTGAAGCTGTAGGTCTTGGTTCTTTTTTCTTTAAGATTAATGAATCTTCTCTACAGGTTTCAGTGGAAATCGGATCAGAGACAAGTGACTCTGAACCCAATTTGGATGTTGTGTCCCTGGCTGAAATGCAAGCGGCATCGGTGCTGCTGTTTCATTTTTGCCAGAATGCAGTAATTCAGTTCAGCAGACTAGAAACAGTGCTACAGCATGGAAAAACAGAGCTTAGAATAAACTCTCCCTGCTGTGGTAAAGGCAAACTTAGCATTGAGCAAAGCACTAGACCAGAAAATCTTATAATAACAAATACCAAATCCCTCCCATCTTTAAAGGTTTAGAGGCAAAATCAAATGCAGTGTGTCATGGGGGCCATACAGCAAGGGGGGAACAAGCAAATATGTATTTACAGCAAAGAATTACACTACAGCAAAACCCACGTTTTGCATTCTTCAGGTGCGCACGCACAAATCTTTGTTTCCGACATAGTTCTGTGATATCTCAGTCCAAACTAAATTCCTGCCTGAAGAACCTCAGGCTGAACTGGCAAAGACAAGTCCTACTATTGCCTTTACTTTTGGCACCAGCTGGAAGTACATACACTTAGATACTCAGGCTTTTCTAGTTGCACAGATATGCACAGGTAGGCAGGGGATATTTCATATAAATACAGAATTCATTGTTGCGCCTGCTCAGACCCATTTCCAATCATCCTCCCCCAGCTTTGCCAGGGTAGTAAAACTATTGCAAACTTTTGCAATATACATTTGTGCTGACTGAAGCAAATGCTGAGCTGTGGCAGCAGGAAGGATTTTCATACTGGTTTGCATTTGTTTTCTTTTCGTATAAAAACTTTGCCTCCCATTAAAGAACCCAGCTGTTCTGTTTCTGAAAAATTACTCTAAAATACAGTAGATTTTCCCACCATCAAACCCAGATCCTGGTGGCCCTGCTGTTCAACAGCTCCCACAGACCCTTTTTGGATACTCAACAATCCCCCAGGATTAGGCTCCTGTGTAGTCCAGAGGGATGTTATGGAGTGTTACAGGAGTGCTACACTGTCAGGAGTGCTGAGGCAGGAAACCAGAGGCTTGAAAAGGTTCATTCATTGCTTTCAAATTTAAACTTTAAATGTATATTGGGCTGGAGAATTTATCCAAGGTGAAATAGCATCTGCCTTGCTTGGTCTTTGGTAGGTCGCTAGACCCATCAATATTCCCACACAGATAATGAATGCCACTTACAAAAACAATCTGAACCAACCAGATATATCCAAGAAAGGAAAATGTAAAGTATCTATACTTTTCATGATTACCTGGTGACGCTGGTTAATCTTTATGAAAAAAATGTTTGTCTTGATTTGAGGGTTTTTTCCAGCATAGTGAGAGCGTGTCCCAGTTGCAAACCTGCAGACACTGCAGATTTGTTTCTCACTAATCTTAGCACATAATTTCCTGACTACAAATGGTGCTGTCAAGCACGTCACCTTCTGCTGAAAATAACAAAAATTACTTCTATAAAAAGAAGGCAGTTAAGAAGAGTTAACTTGCTGCTCTAAAAAACTGAAGTTTGATTTGAATTCTGAACTCCTGAATTGTTTCTTTCCCCTAAATTTGTAATTGGTGTGCTTGCTAAAAAAAAATAAAAAGGAAACAAACAAGCCCCTAAAACTAGAAAATCAAACAAGGAACCCATGAGATTGATCAATGCTTTTCTTTGCAGTACTTTGTTTCCTCTTACTTATTCTTCAGAAAAAATTTCTCTTTAAAAACCGAGCTAGTTATGAAGACATTTTACATTTCTACCATACAATAATTATAGTTAGCTTAGTTTTACCTTTCTATGTCATTCAGCAACACTTTAACTACTGGAAGCCATAGCAAAATGAGGTTCTAACGATAATATTGCTCCAATATGCTGAATACTTTTTGCTTCACACAGTATTTCTAGTAGACAGACTACAACAGAAGCATGGGCAAATTCCGAGGATTTACTCTCTAAATGGGACCAGTAAACTGTGATGAGTCCATTCCAAAAATGGCAGTATGTTTTTGTAGCTTTTCCACACTGAAGAATGCCACAGCCCTTGCAGTTATCCAGTCACCAAGATGTGTCACATGCTGTCAACTGCCTGTTTGCTCATTCGTTACACTCTGTTTAGACTGCTCTGATGCAGCAGCTGTGATGCAGACAATACCTTGTTGTATACAAAGATTCAATAAAAAAAAAAAAAAAAAAGGAAAAAAACCAGAACTGGGCCCAAATAACCCAATAATAGGGTACAGACCTCTCTTGTGATTCCAAGTTTTTGTGAAGTAAACGACTTTGTAGCCATTCAAGCTAAAGCTGTACCCAAACCAGTGCACCTAGAATAAAATGTTAGTCCTTCCTTCCTGGCACCCCCCTCCCTCAAGCACACTTTTTTCAATTTTCTACTGGAATGAAGTTTAAATACTTCAGCTAATCATGATGAGGGATGTCCTAACTCATTAAAAAATAGAAAACACTTCACCCAAACAACAAAACCAGAAATTTGATAGGTCTGGAAATTTTCTACAACCTATTCTGCGCTGTCATCTTCAAATCACTGTCGAACATGAAACTTGTTTCTCTTTGCAAACAGGTGAAGAAGTCTGAAGAGTTACACTGCAAACGTCCTTACAGGAAAAACAGATCAGTGAGCTGTCTATTATGAACCCCTCCTCTCTTAGAAGACAATTCTGCCCAGCAATGATAGCTCTGCCTGCAGCGAAAAAACCTGGACAAAAGTGCAGGAAGTAATAAGTAGCTCCTCTCCAAACTACTTACATTTTGTCCCCAACTCAAAGCAGCCCTGCTGCTGCTATAGGCAGTCTTTGCAAAGAGCGACCTGCCCCTTGATATAGTCTCTGCAGGGGCAGACCCTTCTGTGGGTGGGGTGGGATCCAGCACAGCTGAACAGTAACAGGTCACCTTGGAAAACACAGTGCTTCCTTCTTGCATCAAAAGAGGGGACCAGAATATCATTTGCAGACTCCATGGTGAGACATTCGATGTTATGCCTGAAAAGCAAAGCACATGATCTAAATCACACTGGAGTTTATAGGAGTTTGGTACAGTTTTCATCCTTCCTCGCTAAAAATAAAAGAAAATGCTATATTATATCCTAGATCAAGTACATTTACAACTACAGCTTTCCAGAACGTAACTTTCTTTTCTCCTGTGCAGATTTTCTCTGCAGAGGGCAGTGCTGCCTTTTCAGCTTCACTGAACTTCATCAAAGAAGTTAAAAAGGAAAAAAATGCTTTTGACTATTCCCCAAAACCTAATATTTAAATACACCGTGGATTTTCAGTAAGACAAACCCAGAGAATCTAAAAGCGGGTGATAATTCTCTCTAATTTCAGCAGGGCTTTCTCCCAGGGAAATCCACACAGTGCCACGCAGCCCTGGGCAGCTCCAGGTGAGTGAGCTGGACTGTGAGGATGAGGGATGAAGGATGAGGGATGCTGCTGGACTACAGTGGGAGCTGGGCAGAGCAGGGCCTGTCACTCCCAGGAACCTGCCAGAAACAGCAAGCTGGAAAATGAAATGAAATGCCATTTTCTGACCACAAAGCTTAAGCAGGAGGGTAGCAATTCCAGCGGAGCCTTGTTTTTCACTTATTCTGGAAACATTGGTAGCTCTCAGCACTTAACAGATTTTTTTTTCCCACAGAACTATGATTTTGTCTAGACAGCTAGAAAAGAAACCTGACCAGGTTTTTATATGAGCTGCTTCTGAACTCCACTGGAAATTATAACTTTTCAAACAAAATACAATTTTGTTTGAATTTAGCAAAAAGTGGGGATAGAAAACCTGGAAAGCAGATTCCCTAGCAGCCATTTGTGGGAGACTAGTTTTGAGAGCTTTGTTTTCATTCTGAAAGGAACACAGACATATTCCCAAAGAGATAGCACCTGAAAGCAACATTCACTTCTTTATTGCATAGCTGGTGAGCTTTATACATCAGCACCGATACCTCTAATGTCCAAGGGTTTACAATTCTTTACCCTGGACAATAGTGACAAAAGGTTTGCAGGAAGAGTCATTGCTAATTGCCATAGAATACGGTGTTTCAATGGGGATGCTGAGCGTGACCAAAGAGGCAGATCAAAAAACAAAAGCAAGACTTTATAGAAGTTATTTTTAAAATAATGGTGCACACACAGAGGAGACAGAGGGGGAAAGGCAGAGATGTGAATTTTTGCTTTGGTGCCGTACTCCTCCCTGCAAACACTCTCAGCACAGCAGTCACCACTGCCATGCACTGCCAAAAAGCACTGCCAGCACCCTCGCAGCTGCTGCAGCCAAACAGTGCTTTTCTCCCCACCTTCCCTTCTCACACAAGTCATGCATCAAATTTTATGTGTGGCAAAGACCAGTGCAATAAAAAGAGACAAAACAACATGCCTGTGCTTTTAAGTACTTACCTAAGCAAAGCTTTGTCCTTGTTAAGATGTTGGAAGAAGGAAGGCTCACAGATGAGCTGGCTTTCCTGACAAACCTGTTTACAGGATTTTCCGGGTTCAGCAATTTTTACTTGAAGGGCACTTAATGGAGGCCACATCACCTGCCCGTGACAGAAATCCTGCAGTGACAGAGGAGATTTTATTGTGATGTGTTTGGTCCCTTGACAGCAATTTTCACCATTAGTAAAATAAGTGGTTATCACCCAAACAATCATCTTGCACCTCACTTTAGTTGTATTAAAGTCAATAATTTAAGCACATTTAAAAAGAATATTTAATCTTTAGCAGGAGGAAATTACCACCTTTGATTTTTAATTTAAATGTAGTATCATTCTTCCCAAAGAAGCTTCTTTCCTACCCTTACCTTTTTAAATTTATCCTAAGCAACTCTAGCCAGTCCCTTTCCTTCCACACACCCAACCCATTTTGCATTTATCTCAGAGATTCCTGTTTCACTAACTTACTGCAGGCAGAAATATTTTCATAACAGCACAAATATCAGGAGGATGTTCTCGTGGGAGAAGAATTCCAGAGGCCAGTTAGGAGAGAAATGCCTCAAGTTGCCCATGGGAAGAGACATGTGGGAATGATCTGGGGACTCAGTGCTATGGAGTGAGCTGAACTCATAAAAAAATGAAGATTTCTGTAAAGCAACCAGGAGTTTGTTTGTTCTTTACGGCTGAACTGATGCTAATTCAAAATGCTTTCCCAACACTGAAAAAAACCTGGTTATAAATAATATCTGCAGTCAGGTGTCACCACAGTGGGAAGAGGGAGGGAAGAAATGACACCCAAACACACCTGCTCACAAAAACTATTCAAAGCCAAGTTCTGATGGTCTTGACATTTAAAATGAAAAAAAGCAAAGAAAATTTTAATCACTGGTTTTATATAACATTCCACAGTACCCAAGATTGTATTTTAACATTTGGCAACTCTCATCAAAAGGTGATAAAACAATTTTGGCCTGGTCCATCGAGGTTTGCTTTCTCTGGATAATGACAAAACTTGTATGAACAGGTCCCTCACTGTGACCCAAAGCCCCCAGTGATCTAGCAGTTCTCAATATCAGTTTGAAGTTTTTTTATTCCATTTAGATTTCCTCTGTTGAAAGAGGAAGTTTTCATACTTCCAGGTCTAACCGTAAATTTAGTATTATACAACCATGAAACAAAGAATATCCTGAGGTGGAAGGGATCCATGAATTTCAAGGTGAGACAGGCCTAGCCCTGCTGTCACAGGAGGTGTCCTCCTTCCTCTGTCATTTCTTGCTCTTGGATGAATGGCCTCACTGACTTTGCCAAGCTCTGGTGCTCAGCTGACCCTTTGCTGAGCCAAGTCAGTTTTCTAACCTAGTAGAGCCCTGCCAAAAACATTTTCTGCTGGGTTACCAAGTACTCTTCTTGACCACTTCTTTCAAAGTCAGCCTGTGTGTTCCACCAGCCCAGTCTGCCCCATCCAACAGCTCCCAGATTTGCAGCAGGGAATCCCTGCTGCTTCGGCTGCAGTTGTATGGCTGCTCCTTTGATGGCAGTGCCAAAATTTAAGCAGTCCCACCCTTTGGTTCCCATCCTGTGCTGCTGCTTTGCAGAGCAGACACAACTGTCTTTGCAACCACAGAGCAAACAGGATGGATTTAGCAGATGGCCTGGATGCACCTCACAGCCACGCTGGGCTGCTGGCAGGGGCAGTGGAGTAGCTTAGAGTGAAAGCTGGTTTAATCCAACTGAAGGTGGCACTGCTAAATGTGAAACCACAGCTCACAATAGTTCTCTTACCTTACACCATAAAGACCTTTAGCCTAGCTGCTGGATCTGAAGGTTCAGGGCATTCACCAAACCTTTCTTGTAAACACTGTCCTCCCTCCTGACCCTGAGATAAGGCCTCAGAAGAGGAACTCCAAATACCTCCTTTAAATCCTACAGTTTCACTGTTCCACAGAGTGACTTGTGGGTGAGCGTATCTGGCCCCATCCTCTTCGCACTCAAACATCCCCTGAAGACCACAAGGGGTCAATGTACCCCACAGCCTCTGAACCTGACTAGCTCCAGGCATCTTTATTCCTGTTTCCAGCTCACGCTGCTTTCTCTGTTCTGCCTGCCTCCCACCACAAACTCCTCAAAATAAGGTCTCAGCTTTTATTTTTGCTTCATCTGACACATTAATCAGGTGCAGTGCTAAGCACATGGAGCTAATAATGATGCTTGAGCATCTTGGGGGCTCTGAAACGCCACTGACTTTTGACAATTAGTCAAAGCAATGATCAAAATTGCAATGCTCTACTGATTTCTGAGAAGCACAAAGCAGGGCTTAGCCCTTGGGGGAGGGCCAGAGGGGAGAGACAGGTTTCCCCCACGGGTGCTATCTCTAGACTGTCTCTTTTTCTCCCTTACACTGAGCTCCGTTTCTTCTTGTATTGACAAAAACTCTCAATTATAGCTAACTGAGGTAGAAGAACAAAAAGCAGAAGAGATACTTTTACAGGTTATGTCATCAATACAGCAGTAAAAAGTTTTAAGTGTTTATTGGTAGGAAACTGGAAATAGCTGTGCCATGTTAACTGCACTTCTGACCTGGAACTGTGTTATTCTTTATGACTGCTTTTAGTACCACACACTTACAGAAATACAGGTACACAGAAGCGTGTCCAGTGCTTTTGAAAGAAAAACTGGCAATTAAATGACATATCAGAGACAAAAGTTATTCCCATCTCTCTTCTGCACCAGCCAGAACAAAAGGGAGAGCTGGCTCCTGCAACAGATCTGGCTTGGGCAGAAGTCCAAGCAAACATACAGTCTCTAGAAACCAGGATCCCATGTAAATCTCTGCAGTTTATTACTCCAACTCAACATCTTCAGCTGCTCTCAGCTGGCAGTATGCACAGGGACCAAAAGTCCTTTAAGTAACTGGTTTCCAAACCATTTAAAGCTTTATCGGTTGAAACTAAATACTTGAAAAATCTGCCCAGAGGCTGTAGCCCAACTGCAATTCTACCAAAGAGTATCAGTATTTACCTGATCCCTCATGATACAAAGCTTTTTTTTGCGTACACTGTTAAAGAAGTCACATACACACTGAAAAATTACTTTGCCTTTCTGCTTTCATGTAACACCAAGGTCTGCACAACTATTATTTCTACTTGGACAGTAACAACACTGAGAAGCTTTAAAATGGAGAGGGTCCTTCCTTTCCAACATACACCAAGATTGTCATCCCACAATAAAAGCTCATACCTGTTTTTCAATAAATGCATTCATCCTCTGAAGCATTCCCTCACATGTGAATTCATAGGGCAAATAAGGGTCAATCTGTGGAAACAAGAGTGTGTTAAGATTAGAGGGTTTTTTGTTTCAATCAACTTTGTGTGTTTCAAATACTCCATTACAGCTCAAGTAGCAACAATAAATACAAATAAACTCATTAACAAATCACAATTTTACTAAACCATCAGCAGTTTAAGCTGAGTTTTGCTCCTTTTTAAAGGCTGTAAAAGTTGCTTTAAGGAAACTCAAGGTGTATTGCAAAGTGGCAGATGTAAAGCCTGCCTGAGATCCTATGGGATTCCAGAGCTTCTGTTTTAACTAAGTTTCAGTTCTGAAGCTGAAGTGACAAAAAAGAAAGTGATACCTTTGAAAATTACTTCAAACTTTTTTTTTTCCCCCACCTTGAACTGCCCTCATTACCATTCCACACCAAAAGTGCACAAGCACTTCTGTGGTAGTTATGTCAAGGCTACAAAATCAGTCAACAGAGCTGAGCAGTATTTGAAGAATTTGCAATGCTCTAAGGATCAACAACGAAACTTCCTCACTGAATGCACAGAAAATATAAACTGCTGTACAATTCACATATGAAATTTACATTTCTATACAAATTCACCCATGTTTATATTTTTTCAAGAAAAAACCTGACATATCCAGTACTAAAACATGATAATTTAGAAACCACAGATACGTAATAATCATTTTTTCCTCCAATATCCTATCAAAGTGCAGTCATCAGACTAACATTAGGAAGCACTCTACATGCAGTACACACTACACCCTCAAGCGTTGATGGCAAATCAAGGACACATTTCTCACCTTTTGATTCAAAATTAATTTCACAGCCTTCTCAACTTCAGAAAGATCATTGATGTCTACAGTCCAGACATGGGGCTTCCCAATGTAAACTTCAGCATAGGGATGCTGAGATGACAACTGAAATAAAGAAATGATAATGATAAAAACTAATGTATCGAGATATTCTTACCTCTCACTCTTTTAATCACACTTTTTGGATGAAATGCAGCAGGATAATGCAAGCATTCAGCTAGAATCTAACAGTCACCATCACACCTTCTGAGTTATCTTTCAGATTTTCTCTTATTTAAAGAGTGAATTTAGCTGGAAAACCAAAAATCAGATAGTGCAGACCACAAGTAACATATGTGCAACCTCCAGTTTGAGGCTTTGATGCTCACAATGATCCACGTGACAGAGGACTTGAAATTACACCATGACTCTGCTTCCCCACAGCTCATCCACAGAGCCACCCTCCTTTTTTACAACCCATCTCTGCCACCAGTCCTGGTCAGACCTGCATGACTGGCTCCCAGAGATGTCACCCTCACCCTCTCTGTCTCTCCTTCAGATAATGTCCTCATCCTGTTTCTCCTTCAGATTTCAAGCATTTCCAAAGTTCTGTGAGCAACAGTATATAGAGAATAATTTCTATCACACAGGATGAATTCACTGCTGATAGTACAAGAGTAATATGACCTCAGGAAGGGTGTTCACTGAATTTGTTTTCTGACAAAGTGGTGAGGAAAATATCACTTAAGGTAACTAAGAAGAGCTGTATTAGAGTTCCTTTCAGAACCTGCAGGACAGCACTAAAAGTAATTTTTGTAACAGGCTGCCCAGGAGTGAAAAGGAACATGGAAATGAACACACTGGAAGGGAGCAAAAGCTACAGAAGAGGGGAGTGGTTCACACCAGCCTCAGAAGACAATTGTTTTTTAAATAAATACCAAAAAACCCCCACAGGATAGATTATTTATAGACATTGTTTATACAGCTGCCTCTTTATGCTATCTTTATTCAAACTGCATGAAATCTGAAGCAGAAAACTGTATCCGTTGGGCAGAACCTTCTCCTGCACGAGGCAAACACTGTACTTGAGCTCTTCCTCAAGTGAATGCAGGAAACTACTGCATTCACTACTAAAATTATTAAAAAAACTAATTTTCTTTTTTTTTTTTAAATTTGCCTATTGCATTTTGCTTGTGGATGAGGCAAGCCAGTCTTATAGTTACACAGTAGAAATCTGTGCTGTGAGAGCAGTGCTCCAGGGGACTCTCCACGGGCTCCCACCTCACGGCTCAGGCAGTGGGGTGGAGAAGAGGACTGACATATTCTAACCTTTTTATTTTCAATAGTATTTCTACTGCAACTAGAACTGTATGTACTTAAAAATTTGAGTTTCCAAGACTGAGTTCCCAGGGTGCTTATGTCTGCACTTCATAGGCAGAAGCTGCATTCCTACTGCTTTCTGTAACAACAAAGAACTTCCTACTGCTCCTTAAAAAATATGAATATAACCCAGTGTTTTAAATTCCACAAAGCTTTAGGAATATTCTTTAGACTTCTTCTCTACCGTCCCAGACAGACAGATGGCAACATTAAAGCCAGATCTGATCTGGAAGATGAACCACTAAATTTCTCAGACTAGTACTTGGTTTAAGTATTAAGAGTAACCAGCAACATAGTTTTACTGTATGAGTTTTTCTGTATCGATACTATTAAAAACATTAAGACTATTTATTTCCTAGTACTGAGATACTTTGGCTAGCTGAGGCTTATTTTTTTTTAGACATGCTCCCTCTGTATATAACTAAAATATATAAGAATTCCTATAAATAAATTTGGAATTAATTTCTAATTTCATGTTTGGGTTTTTTTCCTTCATAAAGGGAACAAATGAAAGAAACCATATCCATCAAGTACACACTTCAAACAGATTAAGCATACAATGTTTTCTTTCTTTGGCAGGAGGTGGGCTGGAATGGAGAAGAAATATGGGTAAAAATACTGGTATAAAACAAAATGCTTGAGGATGATTTTTCCTTTTTCTTTTTTTTCTTGTCTCTCTCCTTCAGCAAAATCCTGTCTCAAGATAAAACAGCTGCTGACCTAAAAAAAATAAATTATAATTTCCAGGTTTTTTATAGTTTACAGTACCCCATCATGGGGGTAGAGGGGACACCTCCTCCCCAAAATTCTACCTAGAAAAATAGAGAAACAGTAAATTGCAAAAGTTACTTTACAGAAGGACTAAACACAGACTTTATCTTCATATTTGTGTATGGATAACCACATCACAGAACTGCACAAGCTCTTTTTGTTCTCCTTTAACACTTGAAAAAACCGAGAGAAGCATTTAAGGACTTTCTTAATCCTAAAGAACCAGTACACGGATTACCGGCAATCAGATCTAAATGCAGTTGTGAAAACCAGTTAGAGAAAAGATTACTGTCAAGACAGGTCAGCAGAGCATGTGAACACAGCAATATTCCTGATGGATATACATTATGTTACTTTGGACTGGGGCAGTCAATAGGGATTATTTTTCTGTACAAATCAGGTGCATGGCATTTCTGTTAGTGCTGACACATGCCATCGGGATTTACCATGGCATTCCAAGCACTGAAATTCCTACTAAGGAGTTAGGTGGGTTTGGATTATTTACTGAGCACGACCAATTATAGTGTCTGGGCACAGAACAACTGGAAACAAGACAAACAGTCGAGGAACCCACCAGAAGAAAAGGTTTGAGAGGTGCCAAGACCAAGGAGAAGGTTAAACAGGATTTTGTTTCCTTACTTCTGTCTCCTTTATTAGCAACACAAACTGTGAGAGGGGCAAGTTTCAGTTTGTATTCGACAGGAATTCAATGTATAACAAACTAAAAGGCGATTACAGTCCTGGATCACAAAAATCATAATTTATGTTACTGGTTTAAAATGGGAAACTGCCTTTTGTTCAACCAGCTGATGCTGATCAGAATGCAATTTATATGGCCCAAGAGTAACCTGAATTGGGAAATAAGGCTGTACAAAGTTCTCATCATCTACATATTACCTGAGAGCTTTCCCTTCAGGTAAATATGTAAAGGAAATATGTATATACACCCATGAACAAGCCATGGTCACAGACAAAAGTGCTGATGTCAGAAACAGCTACGTGACTGTTAAATGCTTGCAAGTGGTACAGGCTGAATTTTACCTACACTGAAGACGAAAAATATTCCGAAGTCAGTGCCAGGATGAGGGGTTAGTTTACTTTGCCTCATTTTTTTCTTACTAGAGTCTAAACACATTGGCTGTTTTGAAAGTTTGAAGTTTGGTTTTCTTGTTCTCTTCAAGAGTCAGTTCTCCAAAAGTCTCCAGTGTTTAACCACAAACATGATGGGCTGTGAACATCAATACCTCAGCTCAACAGTGCCTTGAACAGGTCTTTTCTGGAGAAAAAAATAAATCCCAAAACACACACAACCACCCACAAATGCCATTTTCATAATTTACTTCAGTGCCTATTTACTTCCTGCACAGTACACTGCAATGTCTGTTTCTTCCACAAAATAAAACCACTTTCAAATGACACATCATGTGTCAAATGATGATCTGTTCCCAGGCAGAACATCAGATTTTCATATGAAACTTCAGTTCTATCAATAAGAAGTAACAAAATGTACATATAGGCAAATCTAGAGGTAAAGTTTAACAGTATATTAACAAAAACATTTTGATTATCCTATAAAAATAAGGACTAATAATCCCATCAATGGCTAAAGAAAAAAGCAGTTGCACACCTTTGGCAATAAACCATGAACATTTATGCAATTTTCCCTACACTGTGTTGCTAAAAAGAAATCACCAAGACTGATAAAGCTTACCTCTCGGAGTGTAGGTTTGCCTTTGAAAAAATCTGTGTTTTTGCTACTTTTTGGTGGGTTAAATCTTAAATTTAGAAAAGCACATCCATTAGCAATGGCCTCTAAGGGAGCCGGTCCTTCATATGGAAATCCAAGACCAACAAACAGCTGAAAAACAGAAAACAAGGTCTGTCTTAATTTTTGTTATTTACAAGAACACAAAGCTGAGTGCTAGTTTAAAATAAACAATAACGCATTCTAAATGTACCAGCTTAAAAAAAAAAAAGTAATGTTAAGAATAAAATGGGACAAATTCAACAGCTCACCTCCTCCCACCCAAGCAGTAATGGAATGTCCTGTAAAACACATTTGACAATAATCTTCTGTAATGAGCTGAGGTGGTTTTTCATGGAGCTGAGGCAACAACAGACCCTTTCACTTATTTTTTGAAGAAAAACCGAAGTTAGTGGTTTGACTGGGGTTGAAAAGAAACTGTTAGTGCTTTCCTACAGGTACAGGTTCTACCGCGGCAGACTCATGGAACAGCTACACTAGTGTTTTCCCCCTCTTCCAAACCTGCTGGGTTTGCCAACATGAACTTGCTCCTGGCACACTAATTAAGGCTCCTAATTAAAACGGTAGGTGGCAGCAAACATCAGCTCACAGCGCTGTACCGAAGCAGCAAGAGCCTGCACAGGCTTCAGAGGGTTCAACGCCTCCAAGGGAAACTAGAGCAAAAAAGCATCCTAAAGCTTTCCTTACATCGCCTGAGATTACAGGTGCTCTGGAAAATGAAAAGACATTAAATGTTTTTTTCAGGGTTGCCTGAAAAAATCTTGACCCTTTTCCTGGCCAAACATAATTAACTCCCCTGAATTAAATATAGGATTCTTCATCTTCATTTGACTGTCCAGATATAATGGGAGAAATACAAGCTCTGATTTGTAACAGCAATTTCTTGGCACTGCTGCATAACTTAATGTATGTATAGAGAGAGCTACTGCCTTTTACAAGAAAATAAAGCACAACCTTCATAACTATTAGGATCATGTATTCAGGATGTATGTATTCAAAGAGGTCAAAATATACTATTCTGTATTAAATCTTCTGCAACATGGAAATGAATCCTGCTAAAAGAACATTCACAGCTGGAGGCTCTTCCTAGGAGCTGGTGCATAAACCTGTAGTCAGTCTTGTCGTGCACAGGCACTGCAGCATCAATCCTCTCCAACCCATGGCAACAACAGTATAAATTCAGAGTTGGCTCATTTAAAAAAATGCATGTTAACACTTCTCAGCACAGTTGAGGACATACGATTTGCACTGCATGGAGCTGAATATTGTTATTTCAGTTTTCAATATTCAGGTTTAAAAAGTTGCCTGCTTGCAAAAAGTTTCCCAGCTATCTCACTGATTTAAATCTTACAGAAACTCTCCCATGGCTGATAAAAAAAAGATCTGGAAGACTATCTCCATTATCTAAATTCAGGTTTTATATATGGCATAAGACATCTGACCCGTCAGTCAGATGAGATGCATATTAAATTTCATCTAAAAAGAGGTTGAATTTACAGAAAGGTATGTCTTGAAAATAATGACTTATGGATATGGAACCATTTCATGCAATCTGCACATAAAATATTATTTATTTAAACTACTCCTTAGTTCAGGCAGAAAACCAGCTGAGAACCAGCAATTAAACCCATCTGAAGTATCAATTCTCCTATGATCCTGTGTTCGTCTGTTAGGTAGGGAATGTTGAGTTGTTTGCTTAGTTTTGCACTTTTTTAATAAACTGCTGCTGTGCACTGCTGAGTTCCGTGTCTTACTGGTCCATTTATTTAGGAGGAAGCTCCACGGGGAAAGAAACATGGGTTTATGTTTTGACAGCACAGAGCATACTGTCATCACTTAATCTATAATAAATAGCTTACCACCTGTTTCTCATCCATTTTCCAACCTCACCTCTAAGCAGCACTGCACCTTTGAAAGAAGAAAGATGTGTCTGATCACTAGAACAGTGTGTGTGTGCTGCCTGTTGGCCCAAGGTTGCAACAGCTGCCTGTAGCTCCCCTAAGTCCTTTTTTCAGCCCTCCAAAATCTTCCATCAGTCTCCATTCTCATCGTCATCAAGTCAGCTGAAATTCCCAAACTCAATCTAGACCCTGCCCCTGAAAATTGTCCTTTATGAAGTGGAAGGTGTCCTTGCTTGTGGTAGGGGGGTTGGAACTAGATGATCTTTAAGGTTCTTTGCAACCCAACCATTCTGGGAGTCTCTATGATTAACGTTTCTTGGTCAGCCATATTTTTGTACGGTATAAAGAGCAAAGCTGAGAAATACCTTAAATGCCTTTGAGAGAGTTTTGTTAATTCTGATTAAAAGAGCAGGTATTAAGAGAACATAGGCCATTTTTGTAACTCGCAATGCTCTCATTTGCTAATCATTTGAATTACATGCACCTTGTTATTTCCAGAAAGGCTAAAACAATCTGTCAAGGTACTTCCTAAGAGAATGTAAAAAATCCTGCAAGTCACTAATTGAAAAACAAGTAAAAAAAGAAAAAAGTAGAAATAACAGTCAACAGTTTTCAGGTACCATCCATCCTCAGTACAGCTGAGGCTGTGAGGAAGACAAGGCTCTGTCCCACAAAGAGTAAAGATTTAGAACAGACTGTTTTTCCACTATTTTTTGATATAGATGTACACTGTTGTCTCCACCACACTATGGTTTTTAGGATACTTTCTTACCAGTCACTATGTCTGGTAACCCATTCCACCATGGAGAGGCACCTCCAACCCACAGCTGAAGATCTACATTGCAAAACTCCAGATGTGAGTGACCATGTTGGTAACATCACAGTGGGTACATGTGGCTAAAAATATTAGCCCTGATCTCACTTTGTTAGCTGTAGCAGAATTGCTATGCAGGATAGAATTCCTTTATGCTCTGCTAGTTGATTAGTGCTTGAAACCATTTCATGTTCCGTATGTGAGCATTTTGCTCACCTTTCAAATACTTCTTAAAGCAAGAACCATCATTTTTCCTGCAGTGCTTTAAGTGGGCACATGGCACAACCAGCTCTGTAGGCTGATGCCTCATGCAATGTGATGATTGCCAGGAGGAGATTACAGTATACAAGTATATCTAAAAGGGATAACAGCAAATAAATGCAGACGTAAAATCATCATGGTGACAGCAGTGTGGGTTTTTTAGGAAAACATTCCTTTTTAGTAAGGTCTGCTACTCAGATGTGTCTGTAGGTCTGCATGAACCAAAAAAGGGTATTTGTATCTGCAATCTTACTTGCCCAATTTGAGTAAAGCAGGTATTGGAACCTTCAAGCAGGAATACTTAGGTTTTCATAAAAAAGGTTCTTCAGGAACCCTTTCTGCCTTTGCAATGAACTGAGCCCCTCGTTTGGAATTTCAGAATTTTGAGTTGGCCACCCAGCATCACACTAGTCAAGACACCACTCTTTTCTGATTATAATGTAGGCAGTCCTCTCAAAGTGTAGTATTCAAGTGGAGACTTTCTGGCACAAAAAGTGACTCACAACCACTCCTGTGAAAAAACAGTGTGCTGTTATTTTTTTTGGAAACCATTGACTTTCAGTTGATGCTAAGCAATTTGTGGAGTTTACAGGACCATATCAAACTATTATTAAAATGAGTAAGCAAACAAACAGGCTTTCTAAATTATAGCCAAAAGTATAAAATAAGGAGTGAATGCTTTACTTCAGTGACTGTAATTACAAGTAGCTGAATATTTAAGAGAAAAAATTTCATATTCCAGAGACTAAATGCTATAGTTCCATGAACAGGAGTGTTTATCTTCTCCTCTCCCCCTTCTGACATTACTGCACTTTATCTAATTTATTCTGTCAGGTTGGTAGGTTTATCACCACTTTTATATGTCTCCTTACTGAACTTATATATTATCTTCTAAACTACAGAAAGAGGAATATAGCAAAGGTTAACTATCTTGCTATATTTTCCTCATGAATATAAAATACTTTCTGGAAAAGTCAATTCTTTTGTGATTGAAACAACTTGAGAATAGAATCACTAGTTAAATGTCCTTTCAGCTGATTTTGTGAAGCGTGTGGAAGTAAAAATAGATAGTCCTTCATAAAAGGCAATATGAAAACCAGCTTGTTTTCCTGTTTCTGTCTAGGCAGGGTGTTGCTCCTGCTTTTATTAATCACCATTCAGAAATCATAAATCCCACTCAGAAAAAGAATTTGAGCTCCCTCAAAAATGTACAGTGACCTGAAGTAAAAAGTTGCATCTGAAACTTTCTCAAAAGGAGAAATATTTCTCAAGAATTCAATACTGGTTCTTCCAAGACAGTCTAGTCCAACTCCTCCAGCTGCCCACTTGGCAAGGAGCCATGAAAGTTGCCAGGAAGGCTGCCAGCTCGCCTACCCTATTTTCCTCAGACGTGATGAATGGCTTTACATCTTCTCATTAGAAACTGTAGACATGTCTCGTTTTTGTCATGCACTACACAGCTGAACTGGTCATGATGAGGCTCAAACAGCCCCCTCCTAACTGGAAAACTCACTTATTCTGAAATGTGTTGCTTTATAACACACACCAGAATGAAATGGCAGCTGCATGCTTCTGAGAATAACTGTGTCCTACAGAGACCAAATACATTTTGGGAATGCAAAGCTCTGACTAAGAATCACAGGACTGAGCCACTACCTATTGGTATTTTGCTGTCTAAGGGCAAAATGAACCAGTTCAACATAAACTGACGCTTCTGAGTACACTGAACCATCTAATTTGTTGAAGTATTATTTAGCTCTCACTCTGTGAAAACCAGAACAGTTGTCAGCTGACCTAACAAAAACTTGCTAACACAGTGTTGACATCACAAGCAATGACAGAGGATTCTTGCCTTTGGTCTCAAAATATCTGAAAGCTTCTGGAAGCCTAAAGACAAAGGTTGCTGCTGGGAGACAGCAACAGCAGCCCTTGATGGTCCCGGCCAGCATTGTACCCACAGATGTTCCCAGCCCAGAGTTATGGTTCTGATTATTCACACACTTGCAGCAAATGGATAGTCTGGTGACAAAACCTCCTTAACTAAATTCATTAGGGAACTCTGGCCATGTTGCCTAGTGAATAAAGTGATTATGGTAAAAAAGTGTCCTCCTACATCACTGCATGCATGTGCACACAAACACCGGGCTCCTCAGGGCACAAAGCTCCCATTTAAGTCAGCCTGATTTTTGTGGAAAACCTGCACTTGTTTTAGAAATTCAAGCCATGATCCATTTGATATAAACACAACTGACCCACACAGACAGCAGATGGCCACTAGTGACAAGTGAGTGGTGTTTTATAATCAGCTACATTCAAGTATTGTCTCTTAAAGGGTATCAGAATCTGAAACTGTGAACATACAAGCAACAAGAAGACTTAGAATAAGTACATGTGTTGATCAACACTGACAGGTAACCATATGCTAGGGCAGAACAGCCAGAATACCTATGGTATACGAAGCATCAGCCAGCAAAAAACATAAACCCCACAACTCCCTGCACACCCTCCCCAATCCACCTTCAACTAAAAATGTCCAAAAAAATTAGATGGTAATCTCAGTTTCCACTTTCAAACCCCGGATGCTGCTGTTTCACTTCTTCTGTTCAATTAGATACATTGAAACAGTATCAGACAGGAATAATAAGCAAAATTCCTGATGCAGTAAGCCATATTTAATTTCATTTCAGTGCAACATTAGAAATACATCGCACTCCCATTTCCCTGACAATAATAACTATGAGGAAAAGCAGATGGACTATTAATGGCTTATTATCAAGGCAAAGTTTTGTTAGCCTAGCTGCATCATAAATAAATAATTTCCTTAAAAGGAAAACAGCTTTTGTCATTTGCAAACCTGCTAACAAAAGTTCAGAAAAGCCACATAAAAATACTATTTGCAGATGTAATTTTTAAAAAAAGCTTATTAAGAAATATTGTATTAAAAAGATAATTGAGGATAATTGATAAAAATATGAATTCCTTATACAGGGTTCTGAAACACACTGATGTGTTTCTTAGTGTCATCTACTAAGAAATGCAGCAAATACTCAGACGATTTTCCCCACCATTATGAAGGAAAAACCTGACCATAACCAATGCCGAACAATAGTAGAGAAAATCATGAAAACCTAAAGTGCTTGTAGGACTCTTGATAACAGTACAATGCAGATCCATGCTTTTCACCAAATACTTCTTGTGGAAAATAAGCAACTTACTGTCTTGGGAGCACTTCATAATCACAAGACAGTCTCTTCCATCTGATATTCCTATTACTAGTCAAAATTGAGTGAAGCTACTCTGCTACTTCCTGTGTCACAGAATCCATGCAACTAAGCTGCATAATACGTAGGTATCAACTTGAATTTGTCCTAAATTGAATGTGTCTTTACATTGCATCTTCGAACACAACAAATATAACCAATAACAACTAGATGAGCTATCTAGCTAATATTGAAAAGCAAGTCTTTTATTGTGATACATGTAAGATGGCTGATAAAGAACTAGAGGAAGACACAGGCAAACATAACTATTATTATGAACTGCTACTTGTAAATTATAAGGACTGAATAATTCTACAAGAATTCCATTAGCTTCTTTTACTATTTCAGTGAATAGAAGACATTTTTTTTTCAGGAGGCACTGTTTGTGCTTGGGGTTATTACAAGGTCAATATTCTTCCCACATTATGATTAACACAGGGATTTCCTACTCCACACAGGCAAAAGCTGTGTAATCTCAGATTATCTATGACGAAAGTAAATGTTGACTTTTTAATATGCAACATTATGTGTATCTGTATGCATCAAGTACATACACACAGTGGTTGCCTTTAAAAACTCATAATTTACCAACAGCTGTCACACAGAGATGTCAAATTACAAACATTTTCCCAAGTACTTAAAGACGGAGATCTCTACATTTGTGTGGGAAGCCTGGGAGTTGCTTGCTTTTTTTTTTTTTTTTTTTTTTTTTTTAATAGATTTTTCTGTAGAAGTGCACAGCAAGAAACTATCAACAGGGACGCAGTTCCACAGATTTTGCTAATTTTAAACATACAACCCTCTTCTTTCACCAACTTAAAGTTAAACATCCTATTTAAATGTAAACTACTGAAGTGTTCTAATGTTGTAAAGTGCCACAAAGATTACAGGAATGGCACAGAATCCCAACAAAGCATTTTAACTATGGGGACAGCAGTTATTTATTTCGATTATATATCGTCCCTTATCTTGAGTTCCCTTGACTCTAGAGCTACAGGCAAAGCACACCACAAAAAGCATGCTCTTTTGCTCACTCTCTCTGCACAGCTGAAGCAGAGGAAGGACATGAATGGCAAATGAAGTGCTTGCTTTTCTTTTCTCCCTGAGAGAGCAGGGTTGCTCTGGGTTAAAGTCATTGCTAGGGCAGAGCAAGCATGCGACTGCACTGCTTTCGGCTGTTACCTAACTTTGACCTCAGGGATGGGAAACAAAGCACACTCTCAGCTGATAATCTCCTTGAGCTGAATATCACATTGAAGAAAATGAAAAATGCATTTATCCCTGTTTCTCAAGTTGGTTGTTAAATGTGCCTATAGGTTGTCACGCCAATTTTCTAATAAGAGCTGTCAATCCAAAAAACAGGGACACGATGAGAAATGTATTCTTAGCACACAGAGGACGACTTAAGATCCTTTACATTTGATAATTTTTTTGCCAGTGCTTTTAAATTAGGAGCTTATTCATAGGACGTGAAATGCATGCACTCCAGACACTGCCTATCTGGAGCTATTTTTGTCACCACTCCCACTTGACAAACTTACTTTGGTTTCTCTCAGTAGAAACTGCAAATCCCGCCCACTGAGTATCCCATGGTTTTTTACATAGCCAGGAATATACATAGTGCTTGTCCCATGAACAGTTCCATGGACCTCCATATAGGTGTGGATGACATCCAGATAAGCCTTCTTATCCTGTAATGGCAATGATAAAATATTTTCAGTCTTTACAAATTTGAAGCAGCAATATTCAATCCAGTATTCAAAAGCCAGCAAGAGAAGTTCACTCATTCTTATTTGATCTCTCTATTTCATCTTTCATTATATTATTAGTTTTGTTTTCTTCTAGACTGGAAGTAAACTGCAGCTTTTTCATTCATAGTCTAGGTATAAATAAATCTATACCAAGGTTCTCTTAATTTTTAACTGGACAAAAACCAGGTCACCACCAGACAGCTGCAATCTCAGCATGCCTAAACAACACTTGGCCTAAAAATACTAAAACCTCATTTTGAAATAGCAATTTTTCACTGTTTTTGTCAGAGACGCACAAGAATTAGTCTACCTTCTTTGTCAAGAACACTGTGAATGTCACCTTAGTAAGATGTAGTCTTGCCAACTGAAGAACTGAACACACACCTTTATCTAAATAGCCATTATTTGAGTCCCATGAGATGCCTACAAATATTCCACTTACCTTAAGTTTCAAAGGCATTTTGGAAAAAATGCAGACAAGAGTAAAGGCTTTAGTGTTGTATTTAAAAAAAAAATTATGAAAAAACTGTACACCATTCTAATTTGCAAACAAGATTTACTTTAATTTTCAATGCCATATGTTTTTTGAGTTTTAAAGACTACTGGCATTCCAAAGGCAATTAGCTAAAGACAGTATTTACATGCAGTACGCAGCACAGATCAGAAGACTCTCCCTCAATATTTGCACATAGTCTTAGTAATAGCTCTAAAATCAGGCAACAAGTTTCTACACTTCTTGGCAGCGAGTTTTTAAGAATTCTACTTTCACTCACTATTTTTGTCATGTAAATTCTGTTCCTCCACAGCCCTGTGTGAAAGCTGGCCAAAAATTTTACTGAAGTTCATTCAAAGGGCAAGTAGACTGGTGAAAATCCTGTCTTTTCAGATCCTGGAGGAGCAGTAAAGTATCAGGCCAAGGTGAATGAATGCTATCACTTCTTACAGTTTCCTTGCTAAATGAATTGTTGGGATGGATTTGAATGCACAGGGTATTTAATGTACATAATGATGGGCTCCTTGCTTTAGCCCTCTCGGTTGGGGACCCTGGCTGTGCTGAAGTGGAGGACCTGCCTCATTAATAAATCTCCTTACTCTGGCAGCTATGCCAAGGCTGCACTGGCCAGACAATGTCCTGGGCTAAGTATTATATAAAATGGCCAAAAGATGAAGACAAAGATGCTTTTTTGTTCAATGTGGCTGCTGGTATTATTAATTAACACAAATTATTCAAAAAACTAAAAGCTTGCTCCATTTTTTTGTTTTTCCCTTTACTTCAGATTTGAATTGAACATTAACTGTCCATAACATTAACTGGGAACATTACTTAAACATATGACTAACTTCTTTCATGATTCAGAGTCTAAAACCACAGATAAAACATTTAGAATCCCAAAGAGAATCAAAGTCCAAGCAAAGCCTCACTCCTTTATTTCCTTACTTACTTCAAGTCAAAAGCAACTGCTTTCATAACCATCTATCAAGCACCATAAAAATATTATCAGCACCTTATACCTTGCCTACATCTCACATTTCTCTCCTTTCGCAATTAATTTCCACATTCCTTGCAGAGTGTTATTTTTGATCATAAAGGTATCTATTGTAAGAAGCCAAAATAATTCACAAAAATAATCAGGACACTGATTCTGAACACTAAAAACACTGAAGTGGAAAATGAGAGAGTGTAAATATGACATTTATAAATAGAAAGGCTACATGTAAATAAATCAAGAAATTTGACTTGCAAACGAAATATTAACACTCCTTCTACTATTTATGCACTTCTTGAGTTTGCCTGCTAGGGAGCAGGTATAATTATTCTTTTATCTTAAATCATTTGACAGTAAACTCCAGATTTTTACTTTCTCCAAAATAAATGCAAAGAAGAATTACTGCTGGCTAGTAATGCAAACCCAGCATTCTCTGCAGTGTGCACCTAACTGCACTTATCATCCTGCTGTCCACACTGCAAACCAAGACTTTGAGCACGGAAGATAATCACATTAAAAGAAAGCAAGTTATTTCTCCTCAGAATCAAAATGGAAGTGTAACAGTGAGTAACAGCTATACAAACCTTTTCTGAAACAATTTTTCAGCAGCTAAAATAAACATGCCATTCAGGAAAGTACTTTTTGTTGATCACTGACTGCAGAACTGTTATTACTGTTCATCAATCATTTCCACCGACTTTTAAAAGCACCATGATAAGGCCTTTCTCATCAAGTGACAACTATTTGATAAGTCTTACCTAGGACAATATTGACAAGAAGGCACAGTATGAAGAGGTGAAATTTTAAGTTTGGTGTGTGAAAAATTTAAATACAAAAGCTAAAAAAACTCATCAAGAATTAAACTCTGCTCTTAGTTTTCTTGAGGTAGTAGATGGTGGTAATTAACAACTCTGCTTTACCAACACTTTTCAGTTCAAGGCAATGACAGTGTTTTGCAATTTTGGACCACCTGGGTGCCTTCACAGAACACCAAAAAGTCAGCACTGAATGAAACTAAGAAGCACATACGCATAACTACTTGCCAACGGGATTACAGAAGAGCTTCAATCAGTGTTCTAAACTGCTTTATGGGTTGAAAGTTCAGACTGTAAAATGTATGTAAAAGAGCCCATATATCCAGCCTCACTTTCTTATATTGAAAAATTCAGGGGGCAATGGTTTCATAAAGTATGAAAAATGTAATTCAGAAAAGTTAGTACTGGGATACATCTTTGTATGTATCCTAAATGCATACTGTTGAGTCTAGAAGTCCTAACATCTTGTGGCTTATCTGTCGAAGCGTCAAGTCAAAAATAAGCCAAAATGCAGTGTACCTGCAATGTTTGACAATTGAGACTGTGATGCAAACATAATCTCTGTTCAGGAACTGTCATCAAAGGCTGTTCAAGACATCCCTGAATAATGAAAATCCTGTCTACGAGGGAGCTAGAAGAGAGCACAAGTGCTGAGGAGTATTAAGAGAGTTAAATACATAGTGTTTAACTGTAAGAGTTTTACAGTGCTAAATCACAAAGAGTAGATGATGTCCCTGGGAGCTTAAATATGAAATTTTAAAACTGCTAGCCACTAAATTTAAAAATAGATGTGGAGAAGATTTAGTGATTCCTGACTAACAAGTGTGAATTCTACACTGAACAAATTATCTGAAATTTCAATAAAGTGTTAACTATGTGACTATGTAAACCCATCAAAATTACAATAGTCAATTCTTCCTGTCCAAGGAAATCCTCTCTCCCTAGTAGTGTTCTCTAAAAAGAAGCCAAGCAGCATGTAGAAAATCTTTAAGAATCTTAAAGGGACTAAATCTCTTTGGGAGAGATTGGGAATCACTCTTGTGAATGAACAGTCATCATGAGAAAGAGAACAGAGTAGTGACAAAAGTGTGCTGTCAATACACACTATTCAGAGGTGCAAAACTGAAACTAACTTCAAAATGTTGCAGAAAAACATCATAATACTGAACACTTGAAGTTTTGAAGCTTTTTGAAAAAGGCCCCTCAGTAATCTCAGTAAGAGACACAGTGACAAGAAAACAGACTATCAAATAAATTCAACATAACTAAAGAGACACACATGTTGAAAACCAGTCCTCACTTCATGCATGAAAAAAAACCTGAGCTACCCAGAGTCACTCAAGAATGAAAGCTTTGCATTACAATAATATATGATCATGGTCCATGAAAAAAACCAGTCCATTGTTCAGTAGTAGTCAGTCCATCCACCAACCAAGTAAAATGATAGGAATTATTTGGAAAGGAATTGAAAAATAAAGGGAATATTATTGAACTGTTCTATAAAAAGTTCTTCTCTCCCTCCTCGGATATCTCTGCACTTCTGGTCCCTTTTCTCAAAAAGAAGCTGAAAACACAGAACACAGTTCTGAGAGGGGTAAGAAGGATTCAAGATACAGGATGGTTTCCACTGTTACATACGGAAATCTGTAACAAAGTCATTAACAATTCTCCAGTTTGAAAGGGACAACCTGACAGAACATGAGAGAGGTTTACAAACCCATAATTGGCATAAAAAACTGATGGAGGCAGGTTTAGAAAAATCCCAAAGTTAACAACTCCTTCTGCAAAAGGTCAGAGATTTGAGGGACTCCGTGACAGAGAAAGTTGCAAAGGCAAAAAAATGTTTGCATAGGTTCATGATCAAATAAGTACTTTGAAGTCACCTCTTACTGAGATCTCAAAAATGTGCCGACAGTTTATCAATAGAGAAACAGATTTAGAAAATACACTGAATTAGAAAAGCTGGAAAGAGAGAGAATATGCAAAGAAAGTATTATGCAAGTTTGCCATGCTCTTGCTCTTCCCTGAATGTCCATTTATGGCTTCTTTTTTAGGCATCTCTTCATAAAACACACATTGGCACATACATAATTTTTGCACAAAAAATGAATAAAACATCTCAGCAAAGACTTCGATTCTTCAATCTTTGCCAGAAATCCTTATTCAGCTCCTTATCCTCATCTTTATTTATTTCATCCATGAAGGTTTGAGTTTTTTTAAACACTAACATTTTTATAAGAGTTGACAATTTCATTGTCATGCAATGCACACTAACACCTAGGCAGGAATTTCCTGTCCTTTGAATGGAAATTTCCACAACTAACAATGAGACATCGTTGTGCATTCTAAGTGGTGAAGCAGAAAAGTTCAGGGGTACAGAAGAAAATAGAGTGGGGTCACAGGAAGAAAAGGTTGTGTTGGTTTTTTGCTAACCAAATACTTCTGGATGACTGTGTGGATCAGTACTGCAAGGCTTCACTAATTCATTTTGCAGCTCAAGAGTTCTGTAAAATGAGAAGCTGATCACTGATCTGTTTGAAAGGTAAATATTCATAAAAAACACTTCTCTTTCTTTCTTCATACTAAATTAAATTCTGATTTTCATAATAAATATTCAAGAATAAGCCTTTAAAAATGTACATGCATGCATGCTTATTTACTGCACCTATAACTGCTGGTGTGCTTTGATTTACTTGGCTTTCTGATCCATACTTCTTTCAGAAGGAAATGGTGAATTTCAGAAATGTTGCTTAAGTAAAGTGTCTGGCTCATTTCAATTTGTTATGTGACATAAAGCAGGACAGTGCTCCTGGTGTCTGATGACAGCAACTAAAGAGTTTTGATCAACTGATAGGCACACAGTGCTGCTGTACATTTGGAGGAACATAGAATACAAAGAGGATGAGACAAGTTTTTGAATGCACTGACCACATAGGACAGAAAAGATGCAAAGGAACTTTTGTCCCTTTCCTAATGTTTCTTTTATTTAAAAAGTAGAAACGAAATGTTCATTCAAAGTACATTGCTAAATATGAGGTACAAAAACCAATCAGAAGAAAGGGAAGGCAATATTGCAAGCAGTAAGACACTGATTTCTGCCTGTAACAGAACTATTCCTACAAGTATAATTTTTCCTCTCTGACTTTCCTCCCACTTCATGCATATGATGGGAATATTATATGTCATCTGGAGTTCTAAAGCGGAGACATTAGTAAGAACAGCCTCGTTGATGTGCTTTGCCATTGAGAACAAACTAAAGATAACCATTTCCAATCTCCAGTGCTTCTAAACTTGTTATGTAGACAGTGTATATATTTAAGAAGAATGCCCATCTTGTCGAGTGGCATTAGTAACAAATTCACATGTTATTTTGCCTCTAAATAGACAAATATTTTCAAGACAGCTCCAATACTCTATAATAAATACTAAAGCAATCATCATACACTTATGTTATGCGTTAATGACTATTTTCTGATACAAGCAACGCTCTGACTTCTCTCACAGTCCCCACAAAAGAGAGATAGCAAATAATGCAAAATGAACCTCGACTCTTTCTTCTTTCTAGGATTAAAGGTAAAATTAGTGGAATATAATGACAGGAAGTTGCAGGAAGAAGACCAAAGAAAAGACAGACCAAAACAGGAGCTAAGGCAACATAAAAGGCTTCAAACATTCTTTTTAATTGAAATGTTCTGTAATTAAAGCCAATTTTGATAATGGAGAGCATTATGGGTTTCACTCACATTTTACTCATTCCTTTTTTTTTTTTCCCATTTTGGCAGGAATAGGACTCTCTTTACTCCTTAGTACCGCCAGAAATGCCAGACAAAACCCCAAACCTTTATAACAAACACATCCAAAACTTGGCAAATGTTGCCCTTGACAGCTTACCTCTAAATATAACCCTTAGGAATGTGGTAAAATTCTTTAGAGTCTCCTATTTGTAATCCTCAACCCACTTAAGACTGATCTAGTTATTAGAGGAAAATAAACAAGATTTCTCTTATGCTCTCTGCAGCACAAATCCTTCCTGACCTCCAGCAAGGCGTACCCGGACTTGCTGACCTTAACATGGGATGAATGTTACTGAGTCAGGTATAGCCACACAAGAAAAGAACCCATGTCCATGGCTATATAAAACCATGACAGCAGTTGGCTATACCAGCCCCACCCCCAGGGAAAAATGGTCCCATGCATACTTCAGTTCCACTTCAACCTGCTTTGTTAAAAATTAAACAATTTATTCACAACTGCTGTTCCCCAAAAACACCACAGTCTATGGAAGTGGGACACTTTCCCCTCCACATTGTGCTTCCCTAATGACTGATCAGACCCAGCAGTGACACGTGTATTCTGTGGAGATTACACTTCTTGTTAATTGGCCATGTTCAATATAAAGAACAGGAGCAGGATAAATAGATTAGTCTGGCTCCTTACAAGACATGGTGGCAGATGAAAAGAGCACTGAACAGGGAAAATGAAGGAAACGTGAAATAAGCAAATTACACAGACACAAGATTAGTTCAGGCTTTCTCTTGATCAGAAGAATTGGATTTTATCACTCCAGATAAGACAAGCCACACTGTAACTGATTCAAAGTCTGTCTGCAGTGATTTGCACTTTATATACAAGTGCACATGTGCATGACTGCAGTTACAATCTGCAAGTTACAGTTTTAATGTGCTTGATGTTACAAGAATACAGTACCCGTTTTAATATGGCCAGATATCCAATCACATATATTGGAAAAAACAAGACAGGCAATACCAAGAGAAACAGAGCACTGACTTGAAAAGCAGCACTTCTAAAACATGATACAAGGGGCTTGGCAGAGAAATCGCCTAAACATGAGTTCACAGTGGTGAAAAGGGGATCTGCCTAACAATGCACATAGTATTTCCTTTTGGATTTGGTGCTGGTATGGCCCACGTGCCCTTTGCTAACATTCACATTTCAAGAGGAATGTGAATAATCCTGAGAAGGTTCAGAGAAAACAGACATGTGAGATCACTTAAGGATTAGGAAGCACAAAGCTCTCAGGGGTTCAGCATATACAGGCTTTTCAGGAGATGACTCCAGGTTACTTTGACCTCAATCGATATATTCCTACAGGGAAACAGAACAGAAACATCAGCAGGTCAGTAGAGAAAGTCTAACTCCTACTAGGACTGGAAATTACCATATCTAAACTTGTACCAGAAACAATGCAAAGTCTTAATGGAGAAGGCAATTATTTGACAACTTTACCAGACGAAACAGTGGGGTTTAAACTGTGTGCTATTTAAAAGTCAAAATTGGATGTTCTTTTCCAAAAAGCCATGTTTTGGTCTTAATGAGTCCATGAATAAGTGTGCCATACAGAATCTGAGACTAGGTAGTCACAAATCTCCCCTCTGGGCATATCAACTATTAATACATATTTTTGAATTCATGCAGACTAAATAAACTGAGAAAGATATATATGTCAGTGAAAAAAAACCCCTGGTGACTAAGCAACTATGTTGTTCCTTAAATCCAACTAGGATTCAACAGGTTGTTCTGCTGATGTGCACTACTAATCAGGTCAGGAAGTTTAAATGCTTATGGCAAGCAGCTGTTCCTGAGAGACTGATAATGAGATCAGGAACTAAAAGTACAAGAGCCTAAGCTAGAAAAAGACTTGAAGAGAGGATCTCAGCTCTGCTCCAGCATTCTGCAGACAGAAGAGACTGCAGACAGGGGCATTATAACTTGTTCTATACCATGAGCCAAATACAATAACCGTCACAGTATTAACTACATATTTTTCTCAGCACAGAAGCCAAGCATTCAGCTCTACCTTTTCTGCTACCACTGGCAACATTTTACTGTTTGTCTTCAGTTTTAGGTTTGTTTTACCTCACAGATTGATCATTTACTTGTAGGTATCACTTTTCAAGAATTTACTCTGTATAATCTCAGTCAGACTAGATGTGGTTCAGAAAACCGTGCAAGACCAATATTCTCATGCCAAGGAAGAGAAAAGAAAAGAAAATATAAGACATGGGTGCTCTCACACTCTCATATTGTTTGGTCTTATGTATGGCACATGTCCTGATCAGTTCCTTTTTCAGTTGACAAGAGGCTTAGAATAAGGTCTTTTTAGGCAAGAGGGAAGGCACACAGAGGACACGGGCATGCAGAGCATGTGGGCACACAGAGATAGAGGTAACTTGGAAGAAATTCAGCTATTAGTAAGCAATCTCTTTGGAAACTGCATAAGAGAGACACTCCCAGGGGTGTCAGCCTGGAAGAAGGAGCTATAAAAAAGGACTGTGGACAAAAGAAAAGGACCACTGTGACTTAATAACACAATATATTTTAACTTGGTGAAAATATGACCTAATCTCAGTGTTGTTTTTCTGCTGCTCTGGTCTGCAGATGGGAGACAATACAATAATTGCAATATTAAAGAAACAAAACTCTGGTACTATTACAGGAAAGAAAATAAGATTGCTCACTTCTAAGGCTTTTAGTGAAATGTAATTTCCACTTCAAAGTGCTGCATATTTTTGGTTGCAGATATAAGAAAAGAAATAACTGAAATACACATTTGCTTATGACTGATTAAAGGTCACAAAGACTTCGACACCTTCAATTTCCCATTATGTTTACCAGCTTCCACATTTTCCAAAATTATTCTCATATCAAGACTATAAGACTATTTTCATTCTATCAGGAAGGTATACATAAATAGCAAAGGATCCACATCATTCTAGTCAGAAGTTTCCTATCAAAAAGACTTCAAAATGTTAAACTGAATTATTTAAATATATTTATTTTCAGGAAAATGGGTTTAGACAGAAGGGATACTTTTAAATTAAAAGTTATGCTTTATTCTACCGATCAAAATAAATTTGCTCGGGCATATGAGTATAGAAAACTCACCTTCCAGAAATTATCTACTTTGCCATAGACAAGAGATTGATTCTGCCTTTTGATGTCATTAATATGCTTAATGTCACTGGAATTCAGGTGCTGCTCTACCACAAATCCAAGGAAGCTGTTATCTGGAGTGTGAGCTGTAAGAAACAGAGCATATTCAACACCTTTGAAAGTACCAACTAATGTTACAATAGAGTGAATGCTGTCAGAAAGGAAGTTATAAGGAACATATTATTCAACAGATCATCTCCTTCATATTAATACTGAAAGATAAATTTGCTTGCTTTATTATCAAAACCAGTTCTTATATTTCTGCCCATGTGCCTACTGAAGTAAGCAGCTATTTTCTGCCTTGTTTCTGATAATAAAAATTCTGCAGCTAGGTTGATTCCAACGATAATGATTTTTTCTGTGTGTGCTAAGCTTTATTTTATTATTAGAGATAAAAGAAACAGAAGAAATCTAGCCTGACAATCTCAGAGATGCAATACCAACAATTTGAAAACCCCCTGGATTTATGCTTGTTATCAAAGCTGTTTGTTGCTCAATGGCATAAATAAATTTTACTGAATTTCTTGGGTTCACCTCTTACACCAGAATTGCTAACACCAACCATCCAACTCATTGTGTATTATGTATCCATGCTAATTACTGGCCAACAAAGTAACACCATGTAAATCAGAATATGAATTTCATTGCCTAATTCACCCAGATATAGCAATCATAAAATATTGAAAGGTAGCAAGTGAAGTTGGCAAAATTGTTCTTAATCCAATGCCCAGACAACAAAAGTGCACACAAAGGATAAGCAATTTACTCATAGTTTTTTCTATATTATTTTTAGCCTCTGTTGGTCTTTTTCCAGCAGTGACTTCCAGCAACACTGGCCACTGTTCTCCTTCTACAGAGACATGGACATTTAGACTCATTAAAACTGTTGTTTTGTTTGGGTTTTTTTTTGTGGACAGGGTGTTTAATTCCAGGGATGGACTCCAACATTCAAGGCTTCAGGCAAACATCCATGCCTACTATATAAAAGTTACTCCAACATGTGGGTTTTTTTGGCCTCTCTGAAAAGTATCATAACCTCACACAAAAAGGCTGCAATAAACACAGGATCTCCCCTACAAGTCTCCCCTGTAATTCTGGCACACAAGCTGACAATTATTAAGCACATTTTGCAAAGTTAAAGAATCCAAACCAAAAACAAACAAACAAACAAACAACTCCAAAGACGACACCCTAGGCACTCACGCTACACGCAATGTTAAATTTATAGTCAGTTATTAAAAGAAAAATTTATTGCAATTATGAGGTTTTGCTTTTTGATTCCTGAAAATTAGCCAACTGGATAATGCAGTAGAAGACAGAAACCATACACTGTGTACACATCCCTCTGCATTATATTCAGTCTTTCAAATGACACTGCTTTTCACAAAAAATGCCTCAGCAACTGTTTTGCACTCACTTAGACCCAAGGACTTTTTAGAATTTTGCATAGGAAATGGCACATAGCAAATATGCCTGAAAAGGGGCATTTTTCCATCCTTTCATATTTTTGGATGAGAGACTGCATTCAAAGGAGAGGCAAGGCAGTACACTCTCAAAAGAAAAATAAACCTTTGTTAAAGTTAGATTTAGAACTGGTGGAATTCAGTGCCTCAAACATCACTGACAGGAAGCACTCGGATTTTTAAGCAAGGTCATGCAGTTTTAAAAGTACCAGTGCTGGTATTTTGTGTAAAAGTATTTGAACTAAAAAAAAAGAAACAAAAACCATAAAAAGGGAGAAAACGTCTCATGCTTCTGGAAAACTCAGAGAACAGTCAAGCACTTGGTAATATGCCCACGTTTGAATATGACATGCTTGTGGCTCAGTAATAATTTTCTGCCCTTATAATCAAAGTTCTCAAAACATAATAGAGTCTAGAGTTCTTGGGAAGCTGTCCAGGGTTCCAATCTGCCATAAAATCTTTACTGATGCATAATATGCACTTTTAATCACAACCTCATAAAGATGGTGTTATCTCTGCAGCAGAGAACAAACAACAAATATAAACTTTAAATATCACAAAACACGTCAACTTTTCTGCACCTAGTAAAAAAAAAAGTAAGATCCTTGAACAATCTACAGCACTGGAACCACTCAGGTTTCATAATGAGTTTGCCTGCAATCTATTTACCACTTTTCCTGCAAAGGAAAACCCACAGTCATTTCCAGTAGTAAAAACTGGAAACAGTTACTTATTAAGATTCCAATATATTCATATGCTTTGGAAAATTCATTATGAAGTGATTTTCTCTGAACGAGAGGCTGTAACAGCAGTCTGTACTGTCACAAAAGAGATCTCTAGAGAGATTTACTTTTTTCTGCATTTCATGGAGTGGGACTGAGTGGTGCACACACACAGCTGTACCACAAGTATTCATCCAACTATTTTCCTCAAGTGCATCACCACCCTTGGTGTTATCTTGAATAGGACCTCACGTACAAATTTCCCAACAGCTGGACTACTTAAATAAAGCACGATTGAGCTCCTTTTCTGTTTAGGACATACACCAATAAATATTAGCAAATGTGGATACGAAACAAGCTCTGCTTACTAATGTCCAGAGACAAACTCTGCAACCACTTCCAAGTCACATTTCACACCACATGTTTTGTTACTTGCTTCCAAACAACTGTGAATGCAGTCTTTTATCTTTTGAACAACCTTCACTTATATTTCTCCTGAAAAACTTGCGGAGCAAATGTTGACAGACAAAATATGCCTCTCTCAAGAATTTTACAGGGCAACTGAAATCAAAAGCGTGTCAAGCAGACTGCAGAATGTATAATTCTGCTGTGAAAAGCAGAAAAGTTTGAAAGACTTGACTATGAAGTCTGATGAGAAGGAACAGTGCGTGCCCTGGCCTGAGTCTCAGACGAGGACCAGCCCCAAACTGTGGAGGTCGGCTGGTCATTACCAAGTGTTTCCTTACAGATTTGGGCTGAGCAGCTGCTGCACACAACATACACTGCCCTAAGCCTCACTTAACCCTCCAGCCAGCTGGCAGTAGTGACTTTCTGCACCTTTCAGAGATAACACACTTAAACTACTACTACCATGTGTAAACTACTACTACCATGTGTAAGACAAAGACCCTTTGATTCTAGAACCTATGCCATAAAGTCAAAGACTAGGTCTAGAGCAGGTCACAGTAATCATTTAATATGACCCAATTTATAGAGAATTTATATTAATTTTTTGTTTGTTTTGTTTCTTTTTTAGGTTTGGTTGTGGGATTTTTTGGAAGATATTTATTGATGCTTGGAAGATCTACAGCAATGCTGAAATCTACTGCTTATTTTTCAATAGCTTTGTACATTGCTGGCATTTAAATGTTAATCAGCTCCCCTCAGGATAAATACTCACAACATGAAAACCCATTAGGTGAAAATTTTGAGAAAGCCACAAGAAAGAAGAGGCAAAAATTTTTTTTTGCTGAGCGTTTATCAATCCTAAATGCAAAGAAATTGCAAAGGAATGGCGCTTCTCACTTGCTGAGGGACAGAAGCAGAAATAGAACACTATAGCTAACACAGTTACAATTTTCTGTTCAACATCATGAAATGCAGGAGTGCAGCTTATAAAAACATAATCAAGCAAGTCCGTCAAAAATCTATTGCTCCATTGTGAGATTAGAGAAGTCAAAACTAACAAAAGCTCACTGACACTTGAGGGAAAAGCCAAGCACCGCTTTCCACAGGCATCCAGAGAAAAAAGTTCCTTACCACTCTTTATATTAGGTTGATATTCTTATTTTCTGATTGCTGGATAAAAGCATGACAGAGCTTTAGCACAGCCCACAGACACTTAACTACATGATTCTGCCCATTTAGCAGCTGCATTTTATTAAACCATGAATTCGTCTTTCACGATAAAAAGATTCTTCCTAATGACAGCACTCCTTTTTTTAAAGTTCTAAATTATTTATAAACAGAGGGGTACTTACGGAACATTGTATAAAACTGCTGTGGATTAAGGTTCCACTTTCCCCATGGTGTCTTGTGCCCTTTAGACTGGGCATAGTGGGCGTGGTTAAACTCTGGTTCAGTTCCAAAGGAATCCAGAACTCTTAGCATACACCTAAAAGAGAAAAAAAAAAATTACTGTAGGTACACATACATATGTATATTTAAGAATATATATATATAGCTACGATAATTAACATGTGTTTTGTCTTCGCAACTGTGGATGGTGTAAAAACTGAAGGTACATTTTAATTACAAATGTTTCCGTTCATATTACTTTCACAAAGACATTATGAACAGAAAATTCAAGGATATATCAGACATTCAAATAAAAACCCTGGAGCTTATTTTGGGTTTCTTTGTTCTTACAGAATGAAGTTATGCTTTGGCATCCAAGTAGAGCTTATTGGAATGCTACAGTGGTCACCTGCATTTCCTAAGGCTCTGAAGTAGAATTTAGGCAGAAGAAGAGAGGATTCTTCATCTATTTTCTGAAGTTCTCAACCATTACCACAAAATAAAGTGCAGCAGCTGAGGGCCACATGCCAAGAAGATCAGAGCAGAACACTACATTGTCTTTAGACAATTGTATTTAGGCTCCAGGTTCTGCTCTTAGACCTACTGGAGAAGCATTGAAAACAGTTTAATTTGCTGAGCTCTTGCAGTCAGACAGACCATTTATTTGTTTATGAAACATTTTATCACAGACTTTTGAAGAAACAATATAGTAGTCAAATGCCTGCAAAAACCAGCATACAGAGAGAAACTCTGGCACTGGATCACAAAGAGCCTGGGATGAGAGAATTACACTCTTTATTTAAACTCCTATTAATGACTTGAAAAAGAAATCACTTCATTTACAGGTGTCTCCTTTCAAAAAAAAGGCCCTTAGTACAGAACAGGCAGAAAAAGTCTCAGTGTGAAGAAGACAGCACGTTATAGCATGTACATCCTAGAAGTTATGTTTCCAAAATGTAGCCTGCCAGACCTTTGACATGGCCTGGGCAGGAACTTTATGGTCATCACATTGGCCACTGGCTCCACTGCAAATGAACTGGATTATATGGCTCCAAAGCTGCTGACCCTGCCATTCTTCAAACCCCTAGAAACAATATTTCAGAAAAGATTTATACAGGATGTGCTTCCACACCATGTGCAATTGTGTTATAAACACATGAACTCTTATCACTGCATATTGTATCACCAGGCTTGTACATGCTGAGGAAAAAACACAACCTCATGGGTGGCAGAGAAGGGAGTTGGCTGCAAAAGTTAATGCTAATAATGGCTTTATTTTCCCCAGTTTTCAACATTTCCCATGTGAAAAAATTTAGCCCTCAAAAGGCTAAAGAACTTAGCTCCAACCACTTTTTGGCTTTAAAAGACGAAAGAATTTAGTCGCCAAAATACATTTACATATTTCTTATATACTGCTCATTTCTCTGAAGTATTCATTAATTTAGGAACTAGAAAAAAGACCCAGCAACATTTAAACTCTCATATGAAATGCTACCTTTGTATTTCAAAGTACAAATTGATCAAAATTACATTCTTTTAAACCTTCACAGAGATCTTTCAAGCAAAAAGAAAGTCAAAGTATACAACACATTATGATTCACCAAACAACAAAGTTGACAGATCAGTTTCTGTACAGTGTTTTATGTCAACTGTTCTCAATGAAAATATTTTACAACAGTGGCAATTATCTCTGCATCATACAAAATACTCCAGTAGGACCAAAACAACTTCTGCACTGATGAATCATTCAGTAATAAAAACCCTTATTTCTTGGCAGGCCTTAAAACAAAATTCCTCGCAAATATACAGCTTTTGGCCAGGTACTTGAGTACAGGGAAATGAAAAATGGGATAAAGCTACTGAAGAACTTCAACATTACTGGAGTTTGTCAAATCATATAAGTAAGGAGCACTATGTTGCTCCAAGTGCTTTGTTTCCTCTTTTTCCTGTATCCAGATTTAAGATATGTAGCACTAACGGTTCACAGGGACACATGGAACTATATCCAGTACACACAGGGTCTCTGAATCAGGGTAGGAAATGTCATGCATCAGAAAGCTAAACCAGAAAGCAGGGAAAACAAAAAATATTTACGTGATTCAGGAATAAAATAAGTCAGAAAAAAGATTGTAGCAAAAGGTGCAAGTGTGTGCAGAAATAGTATGAGAGATCAAAGCTTCAAGTGGTGAAATTAATCCCTGAAATGCAGTAGAAAAGAATTGCTAAAGATTCAAATCCTAGAAACGAATGTAATTAACACCAGTTATGCTGAACTGACATTTTAATATATGTAGGAATACCTCAATTGTTTACCCTAGTACCATATTCTCCATTTGTTTCACTTCATGGTTTAAATGTCTTTCAATATTTTTTTATTTATTTTCGCATACAATGCCTTAGCATCTCTAAAGTGAAATAATTACTTTTGAAAATGACAAAACTTTTTTTTTAATTAAATCAGGGATATATTTTAAATAAAAATCTTAATTTGGTGTACTTTTAAATTCAGTTTTTCACTCTGTTACCCCCTTCCTTCCTAAAATGTCACCTAGCTTTAGCAGTGAAGCTGCAAAGAACTACAGCGTGCCCTGAAATTGGTGTCAGACTGATAAGTCTATTCTCTGCCTAATTAAAAAGATGACTGGTGGGTAGCAAACTGCTTTAGAAACATCCATATTAAACTCTCTTTTTTGTGTAACACATTACAAGTTACCATTTTGGCGCTTATAAAAAAAATTAAACAAAAGTAACCCAGGATTATTTAAAGGGAGCTTTTTTCCATAAATATTGGGCAGAAGCACAATCTTAACTGGGGTGTCCTAGTGGAAGTATTTATACACATTTATTCATACACATTCTCCCATCTGATGTTATAATTTTTCTCTAGTTCCATCTACTTCAACTCTGTTTAAACAAGCAACCCGGTGCAGCATAAACTGTTAAATAAAGAGTACATAAAAGCAGTGGCTGCAGACACCTTCCTGGGAGTAGGGTGGTTGAAATCCAACCAGTTCTGCTTTGGAAGCTCTGTAGGTGCCCTGAGCTCTGGCACTGCAACATGCCAGCACAGACACACGGACTCCAGTCTGTCCTGACGTATGTCCAGCCAGCTCAGACCAGGAGCAGCTCCTATGTGCCCATGGAAATTCTCAGAGACAGACATACATTAACTTTCAGGTCACACAGTACTTGCATTTAAAATGCAAAAACTTAAGTTAGAAAATAACCCTCCTAAAACAGATGTATTCTAGAGAACATACATGAAGCAGGAACGCTGCTCATTTTTCAGGATAGCTGTCATGTTAATTGATTTCAAGAAAAAAGCCAGTTGGATTTTTGGCATATGGGAATGAGTCATTGCTAGAGAGACTGTAGAAAAGTGAAAAAATACCAGATTCTTATATGATGTATGGAGGATGTGGGTGCTAAGAAAGGCAATGGGCTACACTTCTCTAACTATATTAAGCTACTAATTTTTATGTTGTTTCATTGCACATAAACTGCATTAAAATATCCCAACTTCAGAGCTGAAAAACCCAGCATGTCCAGGCATTCTTCTGCTTGAAAACAAGGTGCACTCGAAAATGAGATCTGTTTTGCAATATTCATGCTATTTACAGCACCAATTATACCACAGATAAAGCAAGTACTACCAAAAGTCACTGGTGCTACAGAGCTCAGCTGTACAAAGCAGTATTTCAGAAATACCCTCTCCCCAAAGCAGGGTCATCCTTTCGAGATAACAGTTCTAGAAACCTGATTTGCAATTACCAAAAATTACCTCAGGGTTCAAGTTCACCCAGAAAGATTATATAAAGCACTCTTACCAAGAGACTGTTCTGAAGGCAGAGGGTTATTCCACTACTTTATTCTGAAGTGAATAAAAACATTTTAAATCATTTGTATTTGAGTCTGGTCTGCATAAACCAGACTGAGCTGACCTGCACATGTCTAATAAGAAACACTTCTTTAAAGACAAACAAATATTTCTAGTGACATCAAATACAACTGAGAGAGAAAACAAAGTTTGTAAAGAACATGGGCTATGCAGCAGCTTTATTTTTGATAATGTTTATTTTACTGAAATTAATTAAACAGAAACACACAACTATACTGTTATACTACACTTAGTGTTTTCAAGTTAAAAATATTTTGATGACAAAATTTATGAGCTAACTCAGGATACTGAGAGAAAAAAAAATGATTGCAAGAGGATCCTGAAATAGGAGACAGCATGCATGAAGCTATGAATTAATTCTCCTGCTTTAATCAATTTCGTAGTCTCTGCTAGACTCTGGACCCTGTTTTGGACACTGAACTTTAGACAAAGGATCAAGTAATTAGATTCACAGCAAATGCAACAAGTTTGATGAAAGGTGTACAAAACCTGAATTTTGTATGTAATGATTCAAACTCCTGAATCTATTTTTTAAAAAACAAATTGAAGTAAAAGCAGTATATAAGACATTCTAGAGTCTGGCAGAGAGGAGAAAAAAGTAATTTGTTCACCAGAACCATACTAGATAAGCAATAATGGGCACTTTGCAAGAAACTAGGCCAAGAAAAACACTTTAAAGAAAATCTTAGCTACATAAAACAATATGCTGGGGCATCTTTTGCAGTCTTCAGTAAAAGATTGGGCAAAAGTCTCTCTATATATTTTTCAGTAAGGTCATGGACTAGATGAGGTTCCTCTCCATTCCATCAAATCCAGTATTGTAGAAGAAAGGCAATAAGATATTCTTAATTCAAAAGCCTGACAAAAACTACTACTCTACCTAAGGTATTTAGAATTAAATCCAGTTCTGTTCTCCTAATCCAGAAAACATCAGCCTTTACCACAAAATAGGAATCAATGAAAAGTGGATTGATAATTCAAGATTTAATGATTCTGTGAAATAGAAAAGAAAAATTGAACAGCTAATCTAATAATCTCAGTATCATGGTGTATTTCCTTATCTTTGTTATAGAATATATCAAGTAGGAAATTGAAAGTAAACAGGAAGAAACATTTAAAATGTATAAGAAAGTTTCATATGCTGACCACAGTACTGGATGTGATTGCCTAGTGACAATTACCTCTGGCAGACAGACAACCAACTGTAGCTCAGTGGAAAATGGGATTATCTTTATTAGCAGGCTGTTAAAAACTAGAATATCCGTTTACTCCCCTGCTTCAAAAAAGAGATTAAGAGTAATCTAATCTGCAATGTTGATCACAGTACTCCCACTTAAAATCACACTGGAAAGATCCAATGCTCTAGAAAATCCTGGGGTTGTAAGAACACACTTCTTCTGCCTGCAGTGAACACCTTTCAATATCTTCCTTCAAGTAGCATTTACTGGATTTATGGATCATAAAACACACCTAATTCAACTAGGCAGAGAAGAATCAAAGTCAGTAATTTAGATCTGGTTTTCTTTTGTGCTGATAGGTATTTGTACAACACACAGGAGGCTTGCTGATCTAAAGTTATCGACAAAAAAAAATGAGGTTCTAAAACTGCAGACACTAAGGAGACTGTACAAAGTTATTTCTTCTGACCCTCATCTTCTGTTTTTAATGGAAGGATGTTTATAGACTAAAGAAGCAACAATAACTGCTGTTTATTCTTCCGGCCTGCCCCTAAAGACAACTCTCAGTATCTTAAGGAATGGAACAAAGAAAATTGCATTGGGCAATACAATAAGAATAGATAAATCTCCAGGATCATTGATCCAGTACAGTTATAAACATCAATAAGAAAAACATGCCTCTCAGCTCATCTACTAATTTACAGAACATAGCAGTGGTGGGGGCTCGGTAAAGAAGTGAGGGAAAGAGGGGCAAAGATGATAGCTGAAGAAGATAATACAATTCATTAAGATTAAAAATGCTTGAATCCAAGAATCTCAAGCTTGTTGGAGGGGATAATGATGGTATGCAAGAAACAGGTAATAAATAGCTCCTTTATACCTCAGAGCTAAAGACAACAGAGAACCACATTTACACTTTTAAAGAAATTCAAGTTCAGATGAGTGGACTCACTTCAGTATTTTTACATGTGTGATTCAACAAAAGCTCTTTAAAAAAGCAGTTTAGAGGTCAAATAAGTGTATACTTACTGGTAATGAACCCATGATGGACCAAGGGTTTTTTTAAACTGAGTGAGTCCCACGATATCAATGTAAATGAGTTCTACAATTTTATCTCCCTGTGTAGGGCAGCCAGATCTGTTACCTACAACCTTCTTCATAATCCTAAACAAAAAAAGAAGGAATATGGAAAAACATTACTTTCAAATACCTTGAGTTGATGCTGTAATACTACTTATTCCAATAATTCCAGTTTCCAAAAAAGGGTTACTCTTTTACTGTTTCCAAATCTCAAACCACATAAGAACACTCAAATGCAAGAGATGCTCAGAACTTATTAAAGAATGTTCATATCTCATTAAAGTGATAATTTTCATGAAAAATCTCACCTAGTTTAAACAAGAGAGTAATATGGTTGGAATGTTTAAAACCAGTGTACTTTAAATTACTGAAGTTATATTTAAATTATAAAAGTTATTTAAAACAAGTTCTGACTTCCACTGGCAGTTTTATAGTACAAGAGTTCTCTATGAAACAGTGTTCTCATGTTTGTTAATAAAAAATGAAAGCTACAGAAAAAGTGTATCTGCTCATGCTTAAAACAGATGTTTTATGTCTAATGCTGAACTAGTAGGAAAAGCAGGACAACCAAGAGTGAGGTAGAAATTTGACCTGACATAAGCAATTAACTACATCAAAAATAATGTGTTTAAAGGATTTAAACTTTTATTTTAAAGTGAGATACTGAGTGAAGAATAGCAGAAACTGAAGAAGAGGACACAGAATTAGGGTAGTCTGTAACATTTCCTAGCGCAGCTTGTTAAAGCACCTGGAATGTTAAAGTCTAAGCTGCTTAGTTTGAATTTTACAACATTCATTTATGAAGTCCCAGGAGCCTGGAGCTACAATGAAAACACATTATCCTTTCCATGGCACATATACTTAGCTCCTGAAAATAATCTTATCGTCTGTTTAGTGAATTATCATTTTCATTTTATGCTTCAAGAAATTATATACTGCTAATAGAAGCTTCAAGAGTTTACAATTCTTTTCTTTTAATGCCAGTTTCAAAAGTGAAAGTAATCTCCTTACTCCTTGAGCTCTGCCAGTGAAGCTGAAATCCTGATGTCATGGCCCAGTAAGTAGAGAGATGTAATTAAATCACTCCACTGGACTAATTCACCAAGTGGGCCACCACTAAACGCATTTTCTGCAATCTTGAATCCAGATTCTTTTGTCAAAAGCCCCAAATGAACAAGGATCTGAAAAGGAAAGTCACATGTTTGAGTTATCGACATTAAACATGCAACTGTTATACCTTAGGGTATTTTTTCTTTCTATTAAATTCCAACTATGGCCAAAAAAAATCCCCAAAACATCAACGAAAATGACCCAATACTTCCACCCCAATAATTTAATTTTATAATGAAGGCAAAGACTAAGAATCTCAAGCAAGGAGCTGAGATGCAGTCAGCCAGGCTTAAGAGAGGGTAGAAACATTCCTGTGCCTGGCCTGCTGCCATGAAGAGCTGGCTCCAGTAAGAACAAGGTAGGAAGGGAAACCTGTTGCTGTGTTTACAACTTTTGGCTTTATCTTAATTAGTTGAGATAATTAAAAAAAATAATTACATCAAATTAAATAGACCTTTTTCAAGAATCTCATGGTTTTAAAATGGAACTCACTACAGGAGGTCTAAACTGATCCAATCCAAAGTTGTGGACCACTTTCAGTCTACTCAAATCTAAACCTGATGTACACCATTTAAAGTCTGAATTTTGGACAACAAAGATGTACAGCTCCTATGACTACGTAAAAACTCCAGCAGTAAATTTGCAGCTTCTCCCTTTAGAAACTTCTACGTAGTCTCTGTTTTATCCAAAACTAAAGAGGTCAGAAAATTCACTCCCAGACTGACTTATGGAAAGCACGTAAAACTTCTGTAAAGCAAACTCCCATTGTAACATAATATCAAGCAGCAAAATATTTCTTGAAAAGAGGCACAAGCACAAACAGGAGCCTTTAAGACGTGTTTGGTATTTTCACTCTGAAATAAGAAGCTTGAAAGAGCCTATAAAACCACAAGTGACAGGAATAAAAACGTCCTCATTTACCTTTTTTCGTTTTCTTTTCTCCAAATTCTGTTTTTCTGCAAGTGATTTGATTGCTTCAATCCAGGTATCAGCCATTCGTCTGATGCGCAACATCATCCACCTGAACTCCTCATGTCTTGACATCATTTTGTAGAGATTATCAAAGTTGATGCGAATTTCAGCCTTCAATTAAAGCATTAATGAAAAACCCCAAACATTAGTTATCCTTCAGTGTACTTTCCAGAAGTGGTAAAAATGCTCAGATGTGAACTTTGTGCTTTATATCTTTTCTTTTATAAAAAGAAATAGAGAAAAAGGATGCACTCCTAGCACAAGTAGAGATTTTAGTCCAAATATTAAAGATATATTTAAACAGACATTTATGAGCTACATAAATTACTGTTATTTTTATTAGTGGCATTTGGTAGCTCAGAATATGTTTACAATGTTTCACAATGTGTTTCTTTCTGTTTATTTTTGCTCATGTGCTTCAAAAGGAGATTAAAGTACGTCTAAAACGCAATATAGAACAATATGCTGAAGAGTCATGTATACCATGAATCTTCCAAATACAAGAATATCTCCAAGTATCCTATAAAGGAAGAAAAATTACTAGGGTATAATTTTTAAAGGAAATACTCATTTAAAAGCTGATCTAAGAACAACTGGTTTTGCAAAATGAGATAGCCTATATCTATGTTATGTAAGCAATGTTCATACACAGCCCAGCAATTATCTTAAATTATCTTAAAACACCTAAGTGCTACATAGGCTGTAAGAATTTAGAAACAACTCTATGTGCTGTGGTGTTTTTACAGGGAAAAAAATTAGGAGTAATCAAAATGTTACTACAAATCTGAAATGGATATAAGCCTTTTCCAGTAAGGCACTTTTATAAAAAGGGTCCAGATTTATGGGACAATATAAATGGACAGCTTCACATATAGTTAATACTGATGAGCAGTCTATCAATTTGTAATTTTTCTCACTATTTGTGCACACTATTTCATAAATTTAAACACAAAAATGTTTTTAATGGAAATCTACCACAATACAATGACTGGAGAAGATACATGAGCTTCATATATACAGTCCAAGAGGAATAAAAATTATAAATTCTAGTCTTATTAGCATTTATGTGGCACAGGATTCCAGGATATTTTGCATGAATCACAATTACTGAACTATTTCTCATGTTTGTTCTTATTAAGAACATGGTTGTTCTTACCACTGTTTTTTGATCAGTCTCTTCATTAGGATTTTTTGCTCTCCAAGGTAAACGAGGACACCAATTTTCAACCTGTAAAATAATCATACAAAATAAATCATCCTATTCTACTTTCAGCTGATCTAGCAAAGCCTCTCACTGCCTTTACTTTACACCTTTCTTTGGCTTAAACAGGGCATCAGCTGATAATACAGTAACCACTTCAATGTAGAACTGCTTTTTGCAAGAAAAAGACTTTTTGCAATTCAATACTGTTTTAACCTTGCAGATTTGCAACCAAAAGTTGCATTTAGATATTCATTCATGATAATGAAAACAGAAGATCAAATCCTTTCAATACAGAGGTCAATTGTTAAATGCTCAAAATACAGTTTCTCTGAGCAGTTCTTAAATGTTTTCAAGAAGTTTTTTATGCTTCTAGACCTTACAACAATATGTATTTTGGAACATTTCCCATCTTTATAAAAAGACAAAGCTTGATAAACCCAGGGATCAAAGTTCTACCTTGTAACAATCTAGACAAAAAAAAAGAAGAATCATAGAATCAAAGCCACCACATTTGAGGGGTATGAACAATATAATTATAACATAAGTAACAATATTCGCAAGTATGAACAGCTGTAATTCTTAGAGAAACATGACCAATGCAAATGCAATACTTCTACTATTGGCCACTAGAAAAGTACCACAGTGAGTTAGGGAAGAAACAGCAAATGGATGCAAGTCACTGAAAGCTCCTGTGCTCTCCTCAGGGATCTTGCTTGTCCGGTAGAATCCTTATTATTCATGTGCCTTAGGAAATGAGACCATTTGCTTTGGGAAGCAGGAATCTCACGGCTGGAGGCAAAACCATGAAAGCTGAAACATGACTGTACTGTGAAAAGGGAGAAATGCAAAAAGCTATTGGCCAGCTAAGATACCCCATCACTACTCATTAAGTTCACAGCTCCCAGAGAATTAGAAGTCAGACTTGCTTTTATGGTTCTCCCAAACGCAGACCTGTCAAAACACAATTTTACCTTAATCATGCTGCAGTAAGCCTGAAGCATTACAGATTAAAGGCTTAAGATCATACCATATGATTGCCTAGAAGACCAATCACATGAAAATAAATGAATAGCCATCATAACCTCATTAAAGAGAAGAAATGTATCAAACTTAGGTTCCTCAAAGAAATGATAGAAAGCTAAATTTGAATGCTCTTATTTAATCTACTCAGCGTGTTTAATACAACGCTTGAAAGTAGTGACTTATCAACCTCCTCTGAAAATATCTGATTCTTCCGTGGTCTCCAACTCTGGAACCATACTAGAAATTGTAGCAATCAACAGTCCTACCTTCTAAGACCATAAACTTGTAGAATCATTGGCAGAAAGGAGTTGCAAGCTCCATGTCACAAATCATGCACAGTCGCAAACTCTCCCTCTTTCTTTGTTTTAATAATACAAATTTTGCATTATTCTTAGTGTTAACACTGATCTAAATTAAGATATGACATTTCAAGGACTACCGTATGTGCCCCTTTTCTGGCTTCATGTATTTCACATTGCACCACCAGGCATCCTAAAGGAATTGTAGATTTTTCAGAGCTGCCAAGGACAGTTAGCTGCATGCCTCACTGACTGAAAAACAAATACAGTTCTTTAGTGCTTTTAGAAACAGTCCCTCTAGTCTAAATTACATTACAGTAATTCTCATCATAAATAAACACTTGAGGAGTAGATTCAAAGTACTATCAGTGTCTGCAGTTGGTCTGCCTCTCATTTTTCCCTATTGACATTCAGTCAATTCCTCTCTCATTGGAAGGACCATCAGAAGATTTTTTTTGCTACTCTTAAAAGTATGTCAGTTGTTTTGTTATTTTCAGGACTGATAAATGCACTGGGAAGCAGCATTGGCATTTTCTTAGAGAAACAGGAAAATTCTGCTCATTTTTATAAGCCAGTGGCTCACAAAGAGCTGTTGGATGGGGGATAATAATTCGCAAGTGCACCAAGAAAGCAAAGATGAAGCAAACCGGTCTGACATACTATGAGAAGGGGAAAGAAGAAACAACATTATTAATTAATTCAATGTACTGACACAAGGGAAAGTGGACATGGAGAGGTAAAATACTGACTGACAAAACAGCCAAACCAGGATTACCTTAGTAGTGAATTTCAGGCATTCTTGGTCAAAAAAGATGAGGGATACACAAGCCCCCGTGGAAGTAATGTTAAGGCACATGCAAGAAAAGGAGGTGATCCAAGACAGCCAGAATGGCTTCTCCAAAGGAAAACCATGCCTGACCAATCTGGTGGCCTTCTGTAGTAGGTCAGGGCAATCCCAGCCAGGAGCTGAGTCTAGGAGAAGAAGTCACTGAGAGCAGCCCTGTGGAGAAGGACTTCAGGGTTCCTGTGGATGAAAAGCTGGACATGAGCCAACAGTGTGTGCTTGCAGTCCAGAAGGTCAAACACATCCTAGAGAAGCTGTGGATGCCTCAGCCCTGGAAATATTCAATACCAGGTTGGATAGAGCCCTGAGCAATCTGATCTAGTGGGTGACATCCCTGCCCATGAAAGGGAGGTTGGAAGTAGATGAGCTTTAAGGTCACTTCCAACCCAAGCCTTTCTATGATTGTGTACCAATTTGATGCAAACATCAGGATGCAAACCCATATGATAGTAAAACCAACCAAAATGCTAATACAAATTCTGTTGTTCAGAACAAGAGCTAATTTTGCAGATAATTAAAGAATCAACTGGAAGTGATAAGTGACAAATAGGCATTGGCAGCGATGCAAGTTCAAGTTCCTGGTGCCTGGAACTTGCTTTTCTCCCCTTGCTTCCAAATTACCTAAAGAAAGCCTATTGGCTTTCACTGAAACTATCAGGGACAAGAGAGCCATAGAGCATAGAATATTACACAAAGAATTAGGGACTTTGATTTGCAATACATCTTGTGGAAGCTCCTAATACAGAACAGGGCAGGGACAGGGGGACGGACTCACAACACCTGCTTTGGTTGAAAACTCAAAACAAAAGTTTTGCAGAAAATGCAACAGCATTCAAGTGTGACTTGTCCCAGGCCAGAAATAACTATGATTAAAACCCATGTACAGTGGCGGGAAAAAAGTGTGTGTGAATGTGTGTATAGATGTGATTATAAACAGGAAGATGATGTAGCACGTACTAATGCTGCAAGATGCAGTTACAGATTTGGTATCATTCCATTCATACACACCTTTTCGCTGTCATTGGCAATGATGACAGAAAGGATTATGATATCACTAAAGCAGGTCCAAATGAAAACTCCATCACAAATATAGAAATACTTCATCTTTGTATTTGTTTAGGTACAGAATACCTTCATGCAACAAATATGAGCAAGGTGAAGGAGGGCAGTGGTGTTCATTTGGATCCTGCTCTTCGAATTGTTAGTTTGATCATTTAAGACCAAACACTGAAGTTGTCTCCAAAGAAGAAACCAGGACTCCTCTTCCACCTTTCCAGGACAACCTTCTTCTTACTGGGTTACCATCAGTTCTTTCTCTATGGTTGGTCTCCATAGTCACCAACTGTTGTACTGTCATTTAAATGATTTAATAGGAAGGATGTGACACCAGACAGATTAGCAGTCAAAGACGACTGTTGGGAAGCAGCAATTGCAGATCTGAAGACAGATAATTTTTTGGATGAGTGATATAAATGCCAAGCTATTATTCAGAACACACTATATTTATCTTTGTGCTGTCGTATTTTCGAATCAGACCAGCTGTGCCTCCTGTAGCTGGTACTGAATTCTATGCCAATCAAATGCATTAGGTAGTCTTTGATCATGCTCAGGAAGCTATATGCACCTGAGAAGTCAAGTGTTCCCTACTTGGTTTTGAATCACATTAGTCACAGCCCTGCCTGGAGTATATACAGCCAGCTCCTTAAAGGTTAAGTTGCATAGCACTTTAGAAGTTCAAAATTTAAGTGCTACATGATTGCAGGTATTAGTGAAAAGCTGGTGTTCTGAATTGCTTTGAGGTGTACATGGCTAAATTTGTGACAAAAAAACCCAAACAAGAAAACCCAAGAAATTTGATGAGTATGTTTTATAGAAGCTTTGCAGGTATTCCAGTAACTCTTCTTCAGAAACTTACTGAAACTGAGGTAGAGATTGCAGCACTTGACTCTATTACAGAGCAAGTACTTCAAGCACAGTTATAAGAACCTGGCAAACATCTGTAGCACTGGAGTAGTCTAAGCATCTTCCACATTAAATCAAAGTATACTCTGCCAGCAGCTCTCCAAATCCAAAATTTCAGAAAGTCCTTTATGCTTTTAAAGAGTCACAGTGTGAGTTGAATAAAGCAGAGGCTGAAGGGTACACTCTCTGAGCACCTAGGATAATATTCATTTTGGATTCTTCTAAAGGGCAGGTGCAGCCCATCTACGGGGAAGAAAAAGCAACTTTCTTTGCAGATCAGGTGAACACACTACTGCTCAGTGTACTCCTATCCATGGTACAGTGTTGACCTTAAGTATCTTACGTCAGTCACAGAGTGAAACATACACCACCATCACCCCCCAAACAGTGCAATATCTGGTGAAAGAAGGTTCATCTTTAAATTTATTAGGCAGTATGAAGGCAGGCAGAGAAGAGAACATGCAACATTCACTTACAAATCCCTTTGAGAATTTAATGTGAAAGAACTGCTTCTTCACTTTCTCAACTCCTGTATTTTGTTTAGCATTTCCTCAGTGACAAGTGTCATTTCGAAAGTGTTACAGAATCTGCAATGTGCAAGATGACTGACTGCCTGTTTAGTGAAATGGAGGAGTGTACAGGTATCTCAAGATTTGGTTGTTTCCAAAGGCAATCTCAAACATTGGGTGTGGGGTACCCACAGCCCCAGTGACATTGCAACACAACATTTTATTACTTAATCAAGTTGCATTGATTGATTTCATCGATCAACAAATGGTCTCTCATCTAACTTCAGTAATGTCCACTAAATTTGGTAAGTCTTTTACACTGGCATTTATGCCTTTTCCAACAAGACATAAAAAGACTAGTCCTAGTTTAAGGTGACAGAAGCAGAAAAGGTAACTGAGAACAAATCACTCAAATTCAGGCCAATAAACTAATAAACAATTCGGGGACAAAGTGCTGACTATCATCAGCATTTAAATTTCTTAGGGACACTTGTAAGATGACTAAATAAGTCTAAACTTTTTCTGCTTCATATTTCAGAAGACAACATAGTTTTTGTCAAATTTCTGAGTATTTACACAGAATTCAAAGAAGTTGGTTTGATGTTACATTACACTGAAGAAATGCAAACCATTAACTCCATGTCACAGATTAGCTTACACATGGAGCCAAAGTTGTGGACAGGGGACTTCCACATAATGTGAGCACACTGCAGTAAAATAGAAAACCCACAAGGATTTAAGGAACTTCTATAATTACGATTCCCAGGAGTTTTCACTAAAATGTGCCTCAGACTACAACTTTCATTCTGGAAACAAACTGATGTTCAAAATCACCTTTGGTTTGTATTTTTCTGCTTTATCCCTCAAAGCAGAAATAACTGTAAAGAAAATTACTCCCACAACCAAACTATATGTTCTGTTTCCACCAAGTCTGAAGGACTGAAAACAAGAATTCTCTGCAGCAAATGTGCAAAAGCTACAGGAGTCTCAAAGACTGGAATTCAAAACAGCTTTAAGTCTTTTGAAGCACTGGATTCCAAGATGGATACCAAAAATTACACTTGGACCTGAAAGGGGAGTTGGAGATTTAAAGTCTGGGATTTTAAAGAGACCTGCCTGGCTCCAGCAAGTAAACACCAGTGTCATGATCCCTGGGAGGTAGTAACTTGTATCACAGCTCCTTGCTGACCACCAGGCACAGCACAAGCCCCACTCGCGTGTGCAAAGCAGTCCTCTCAGAGAAAGCAAATATGCAGATAAAGAAAAAAAAAAAAAAGAACTATAAGCCCCCTTCATTTTTTTTTTTAAAGCTGGAAAACAGCATGAAAAATTCATTTTCTAGAAGATATTTTTAAAAACTTCCTTCTTCAGCTGCAAACTGACATTTTGCAGCGAAATATATTTTGGTACTGCCTAAAAATTAATTTTTTCACGTTTTTCCCCAGAGGCAATGCCATCCGTGAAAATTATAACTGTGCCAATATCATTACAGTGTAAAAAACCTGCCTGTTTCATAACTAAATTAAAGGAAAGTAACTTCTCTATGGGCAAGTTTGCATCATGGTTAAAAGGAAGCAAGTCCAACCATCCAGATAGTTTAGCATTAATTTAACTTCCTTTTTAATTTGTGCTGTTTCTAATCCCTGTTTTGCTCTGTTCAAGACTCTGTTCGAACCTGTTTTTGCTATTCAGACCATTTGTGCCTCCAGTCTTCAAAGGCTTCAGCACAATTAGTGTTTTGAAGACCAGAGGGTGGTGAGGCCCTGGTACAGGTTGCCCAGACAGGTTGTGGATGCCCCATCCCTGCAAATGTCCAAGGCCAGGCTGGATGGGGTTTGGAGCAACATGGACTAATGGAAGGTGTCCTTGCCCGTGGCAGTGGGTTGGTAAGTCTTAAGGTCCCTTCCAACCCAAGCCATTCTGTGATTCTATGAACACACAGGTGCCTGTAATGCATCAGGAATGATCCAGTGCCTGCAGCAAGACAAAAACGCAAAATTTCTTGCAGCTTCATCTGCAAGTTTGTATGGGGGACAGCTTTAAATCAAACACATAAGCCTGAATGTGCTTTCCTTGGCTTGCCACACTTGCCACATTCTGGTACAGCAGGCAGGACACAAGAACACTGGAGAAAGGCTGTTCCTGTTTCTGCAGGAGTGCCATCCAAAATAAGGCAGAGGAGGCAGAACTGCTAATACCTGCACTTGTGCAGGCTCTTCAGAAGAGAAGACTTGGGACAGCCTGAACTTTGACAATACTATTTCTATTTTGCAAACACACATGGCAGAAGGCTGGGTTTTATTCCAACCATTTGTTTCTAAAGCTTAACATAAACTGTGGGAAAGTTACTTTGTGCCTCTGTGGTTCTGACCCATATTACACACCAAAATGCCATATTTTGGGCTTCATTGTTTACAAGTTTAAAATTGCATAACAAAGAGTACTAGATGAGCATAATGTAATACCCTAACTGAACTGCTTCAGAAGGAAAAGGTAGATCCAAAAGAGTATGACACAGCAAAGACGCTTGTCACACTAGATTGTAGAGCAAAAGTAGACATATGCACGATTTGATGCACATTTTGTCTTTTCAAACTGAGGTTGTGCAGAATTTGATGCATACATTGCCTTTTCAAACACAGCATGCACGCACACAACCATCTTACTCCTATACTGTAACCCTGAAGTAAAAAAAGAAAAATCTTAAGAGTAATATCCTTTCCAGTACCCTAATGCATTTTAATATTTTAAATCAGCAGTTTTGACTTGAGAGCTCTGTAGACACATTTATCATTCAGCTCTGCAACCATGCTATAAACTGTCAACTCTTCATCACTGTCCACTTTGACAAATTACTCTAGCAACAGCATTTCCAAGTTACCCCTAGCAGCCAACACACCTCATAAATCCATATCATTGTGGTGTTATTAGAATTTCATTTCACGCTTGCATTCGCAAACATTTAAGCTTTCAACCTCTGCTGCTGGGCATTAATCATTAAATTAATCATAGGATTAAGAATGCCAAATTTAAACTCAAGGTTAATAACATGCTCACCCAATATTAGTTTTACATTCTGTCATAAGAAAACACTTTAAAAAAAAAGGACAGGACCTTTGTCTGGAGTTGCCAAATATGCACAGACTAATTGCACTGTTGTTCCTTCATGAAATTAAAAGCTGCCCAAATTTAATATTGCTGCTTAAAGAAAAAATTCAAATCCCAAGACCCTGGAAAAAACAACCATTTGGCCTCTGTAAGTCTGCTCACATTTGGCCATGAAAGATCAATTATGAAAAAGCTAACACCATTGACTGAGTTTTCAAAACTGATGATCAGAGAAGACTGTCATGTAAGAAACTGTGGTTTAACAGAAATACAAATAATAAATGTCATTGAAGAATGTTAGATTCTCTCATTCAGTTGAAATATATCTTAATTTTTAAGATATATCTGCATTAAAAACATGAAGTACCTGCTGGTTGACAGAATACTAATGACCAAACATAACTCTGCTGATGCTAAAACAAGACCTTCTAGTAGAAGACTTAGATCAACCTCAGATGATTATGAAACCATATCTCTAACTTCTATGATAAATAACAAGATAAATAATATAGTCATCCTGTGTCTTTTCCTTCTCTAGCTTCACAGCCCATGAATAAATCAACACTTGGTACTGGAAATGCAATGAGTCAAAACTGTGATTCAACCCACCCTTTTTCACATCTTCAGATACATGTTTTGGAAATGCATTTAACTATTGCTGGGGCAAGCAATGCCATCAAAAGCTCAATGACAGTCAACTGAGTAAATTAACAGCAACTGCTTTCATTACAACTGAGTTACTTATTATAATAGACTTACTGTTCTAATCTCAGATATATAATTTAAGAAACCAGCCTCACACTGCCAATCCTGCAGAAGCTAGGAAATTAATATTAGTTTTCAATTCTGCAGCCACATTGGCTCTTGCAGTTCTTTAGAAGCAGTAAGCCACTAGATATCAATACTACCCATAAGATCAGTTGCTGTAAGTTATTGAAATTTTACTAATAAGAAAGAGGCTAAGTGATCGAATACACTTGACTGCTTCCAGCACACATACTCCAAGACAGAAATAGAGCAAGAAACAATTAACAAAATTCATTCTTGGAAAACAAGTGTTGCTCAGGAAATAGAGAGAAACCCAGCAGGACAAGCACCCGACTCCGCTGTGTACAAGACAGTTTTGGTTCTGATAGATACTTCAGCCAATATACTGCAACTTCACTCAAAAACTCAATGTTCAGGGGTTTTTGTTTTCTTTTAACAGATCCTGCAATTCAGAGTCTCCAAACAGGAAGAGGCCATGCTGCTTAGGACAATTTACCAACTAGTTCCACTTTCCAAATTTTACATTCCAAATGCCTTCCCTAAAATGCCTCCCTATTAGTACCTCAGAAGCTACACTGAAATCAATAGAAAAAGTGTTCAAAGGCAAAGATCTAAGACTGAGCTTCATATTTGGGTTTAACAGAACACCTAGTGTGGACTCCCTAGAGAGTTGCTGCTTACATCACTTCAGTTACAAACATTAGAATTCTCCAGGCTAGAAGCCCCTGGAGAGCTTATGAATAATAGCAATGCATGTCATAATAATTCTGTTTTAATAAGTTTTTCCTCTTCATTGAGTTTTTCTGAAGAAAATTATGATTTCATTTGAGAAAAGTACAGTTACCGAAACTTTGAAGGCAATATGACGTTCCCCTTCTGCAGATTAAAAGACTACTGACCTCACTGAGGTAAATAAAAAAGGAGCACGTGGACCCATCTACACCATAACTTGCATAACAGGGATCAGATCGCCACATATCTTTCATCCACTGCAACAGAACAAAAAACACAGTCTGTTAGGTCTAAGTACAATGAAATAACTTTCACACCAAACTCAGGAATAACAGAGGAAGTTGAAAGCGACTATAAACAATGAGATAAAAATTAAAATATTACAAAATAACAAAAAAGGGATTTTATTAATATTTTGTAGTATGCTGCATCTCTGCTTTCAGTTACACTGGGGAAGCAACAGCATAGCAGATGTGAGCACAGTTTATACAAAGTGGTAACCAGGCAAGCAGAGACAAATACCAAAAGGAGAATATAATCAAGATCCAGACACATGACTGTGGCTGCACTGTAAGTGTTCCCCATGATATACTCTAGAATTTAACAGATCATTTCAGTTACCAAGACTGAAATCTGCCCAATTCTGCCAGGATTATGCCATTTTGGCAGAAGAAACTCATTAACTGCAATTCATATTTTTATATTCAAATAATGCAAGACATAGTCACTATGTGACCAGTTTGTCAAAACAGATTGAAACACAGACCAGAGATTCAAAACATATAGATTTTTTTAAAAATCTCACAGTTGAAGAATTTTATTTAGAGAAATAAAGGCAACGTAATTTCACAAATACTTTGGTAGTTAAGCGATTTTACTATTGTACCTCACTAGGCATAGAATCACAGAATGGTTTGGGTTGGAAGGGACCTTAAAGACCGCCTTGTTCCAACACCCCCTTCCACTAGACCAGGTTGCTCCAAGCCCCATCCAACCTGGCCTTGAACACTTCCAGGGATGTGACACCCACAACAATAAAGCAGTATCCTTACATTTGACATGTATATTGGGGAAAAAAACTCCAAACACTCCATCTCTGCAAGTTTGGGGGGGGTTGTTTGTCTGTTTTTCTTGGGGGGGAGGGGGGTGTGTTTTTTGGTTGTTTGGGGTTTTTTTCTCTTTCCAACCAAAGTCTGATGGCTTTGGTTATTTGGCCTTTCTAAACACATTATTACTAAAATATAGGATTTATGTAGAACCCATGTAGAATTTATGTAGAATTTACTGTGAATCCCAGACTTCTGGGTGCATAGTTAGGGCACTGCCTAGCTCATGTGCAGAAGAGGCAAAACGCTTTCAACAGAAAAGGAGAAGACAGGAACCACACAGCGATGTGGGCAAAGAGAGGAAAGAAGTGTAAACCTATGTCTTACTGAAACAGAGAAAGGGTTGGAGCGAGAGACCCACAGAATCACAATCCTGGGGTGGGAGAATGTCAAATTACTCATCATGGGGAAAAAAACAGGGCTTTTCAAAAAGGAGAAGTTTTTGAATGACAAGATATAATTCAAATAATAAGGCATTTCAATAAATAAAATAGCATTTTATTATGATATGGCAACTTTTTTCTGTCTTAGGAGGATGTCATTTTATTTCTCTGCAGTAGTAGTATTAAAGGCTTGAGGTGAGCAATGCTGTAGTGACATATACTCCTAAAGATCCTCTTTTTAACGGAACACACATAAGATTCAAACCAGTTCACTTACCCTTATTTTCCCTTCACAGTGAGGAAAACCATCCATAGGAGGCAATTCACACTGCTCTTGGGCTCCATTTATGAGATCTAAAGAAAAACACAGACCATAACTGAATTTCATTTTACATAGCCTAATGAATCCCGCCTTTTATTTTCACCAATCAACAATCTAGACTGACTGAAGGGTCCTACTGTGTAATATTTGTTATAACATAAAATTTGTGCTTCTTTTTGACTATAGAAGAAAATGGTTGCGCACATTTAAACTCTGACTTGAAGTGAAAGTGCTGAATTACAAAAACTGATCTATGAAGACTTAAAAATTAAGCTAATCCATACTGAGAATAACAAGAAGAAAATATCTTTCTAATCAAAGTGTGCTTAAAACTACTAATTGCAACAATTTGTTTTGAATTGTTAAATACTTATAAGATGTATATTGCTCTTAAATATAAAAACTAGTTTTTCAAGTTCTGTTATCATTTTATCAAATACCAATGATCCAAAACTTGGTATCAGATATATGACCCAATTAATAAATGTTGCAATATGATCTAATTTTACAACTGAGTAGCACTACATCACATCTCATAAGAAATATTTCCTATAGTCTCCCATGATTTTTTTCATTCTAGATTACTGCAAAACATTAAAGAGTAGCAACACTTCTAGTTCATGAGCCAAGGAAAAAACAGCAGTTTTAAAGTCCACATCAAGTCCAGGAAGGGACTTTCTTCTTAGAAGAACCCTATAATTCAGGTCTTTAAGGCAAGAAAAACTATTACCACAGTGGAGAGATTCTTGCCAAAGGCAGTGGAGGATAAGGTTTTCAATTTAGGTAGTTCATCCCACAGTTATCTATATTATACCTGTATGATTTCTTTATTTTCCCACGGGCAAGAATCAAGATCATTAAAGCCAGACATCCATCAATCTAAGAACACTTCATGCTGTGGTAAAAGTGCATGATTTTATGCACAATATGCTAATTAGAAAGCCCAGAAGAAAATAAAAAAAAGCTGCAGTATTAGAATGAAGTAGCAGCAAGAGTGGTGGATAAAAGTTAGAATGCGGCATTACAGTATTATACACAAAAAAACACCACCTGGTCTAGCAGCACATAGGTTTTTCTGCACGGAGTTTTGCATATAGTTTCTTTCTTTTTTTTTTTTTTTTTTGGACATAGTTTCTTTTAAAGATAAAACTTGAAATGTGAGTTGCAAAATTGAGTTGATGAGAGAAAGAAGAATCACGCCAGGAAGGTGACACTTCTTTGGCAGTCTCTGCAGCAGGAGTAGTTTCACAAACTGAGCTGTACTGCCAATGACAATAGCACTGAAGGAAAGTAGTCTGTATGATGACTTTGTAATTTCAAACCAATAAGCACTTTCAAAATATTCTCTCTGTCTTCTTATCCTTGTGGGATTCTTGCAGACTAGACCATTGACATCTAAGGCTCTGATTTCTGCTCTGAGTAAGAACATACAGAGCATGCATACAGATAGCAGCAATTTAAAAGTATGCTCTCAGTCAGTGCAGCTACATAAGAATGGGACTTTTTGTGGATTTTTTCTTTCTTTATTTTTTTTTTTAATACAAACTCATTGGCCTGAATGCAAAGTAAGAGCTTTATGTAAGGCATGTCAAATTCAAATCTTCCTAAAATAAGAAAAGACGTCTGAAATCTATGATACATCAGAGATGGACCTCAAATACAGGGAAAGTTCAACTTTCAGCATCATATTGAATTTAGGGCTGAAAATGCTGAACGGCTGGGTACAGCTTGCCAACAGGAATGATCCATCAATTTTGCCATTTAAAATAAAAAAAATTCTTCTATCTCAAGCTAATTATGCTATCATATGATGGCTTTCTACTTCAAAAGGTTAGTCAAGAAAACCCCCTCTTCTTCTGAAGTCCTTCTAAGTATAACTTTTTATTTTACAGCATTCAGTACCAAGTACCATGTTGCATTTAAATGGGTATCCCATGGTCTGTCAAAGAAAGAAAGGACAGAGAAAAAAAATACAATGGTCTCATTTTTGGAAGATACACAACTGTAGTCTACCTGTTTGCTTTTGTCATGCATAAACAGGTTTTCCGCATCCAAGTGTGTTTTTGTAGATGGGCAGTGATCTGTGCTACTATTTATTACTCACAAGGTTTTACAGGATCCCTGTATTTGCAAGATCTACTTGCAAGAACAAAACCTGCCCTCTTCCAACAGTCACAGATTGCAGGAGCCACACACTTCAACAGCTCCCATCAGCTGCTGTATCTGTATGTACCACATACAGATACTTTTCAAGCAGAAAGCCAACTCTCCCAGCCCTCCCTGTTCTTGTCCATTCCAAGAAGTAAAAAAGAAGAGACAGACATTTTTGTCAGCACAAGCTACAGATTTTTCCAGGCTTCTGGTCTCCCCTGTGGCCAGCAGCACTAGGTGTTTTCCACAGCAGCCCCACTCTTGCTCTTCCATTGGGATGACTTCCAGATAAACAGCGTATTGATCTCTCTGGGATAATCTCTATGTACAGCTTGTACAGAACACTAATGCCCACCTTTATCACCCCTAACCATGTTAAAATGCATAGTGAAATACTAATGTCTCCAATAGTATTACCAAGAGCACCTGACAGATTTCCCCTCCTTGCCAGTAAAAGTAAACACTCCTAGGATTCACCTTCCTCAAAAATGTTAGTCTTTTTTCCAACATAGTCCACAGACTATGAAGATGCTTTACACACTCATGAGCTCCCCGCTCCATCTTCCCATTCAGCCTTACTATGGATCTATATCCCAAACACCTACATCAACTTTCACTTGCTTCATTTGCAGCTACTAATCAGGTAATAGCATAGTGAAGGCAATTCTATAAAGCTTAAATATAAACTGTAACATGAAACAATTTACATAAAGTATTATCCAGAGCAGAACAAAATGTAGCAATATATGCATACAAGAGGAAACGAATGTGAAAGAACAGGAGAAGGAACAGAGAAATGCAACTCTGTTCCGTCTGAGTACTCCCCAGAGAAGAAGCCTTTCCTTTGTATCTCTTCACAGGAAGTCAGCTGATGCAATCAGACTGGAAACACATCTACATCAAGGATTGCTGTCCAAAGCAACCACTGCCTGCAGAAATGGGCAAGTCAGAACTGGTTTCCACACATAAGACTCAGAATTCAATGCAGAACTCTGAATTCATTACTGAATAATTTTGATGGTTCCAGTCAACTAATACTTGCACTGAAGTCATACCCTTTCTTCTTGAACACAGTCAGTGACAGTTCCAGGTTGAGAAACACCCCTCCCAACTTTTCTTTTCTTTTTAATGGTCAGAACCTGCACAAAGAATTAGATTTCTGCTCCTCTTGCTGCTCACTACTAACTAGGCAACAAAAAGGTTCCTTTCCCATCCTCACTAAGCTACGTGATCTGAATTGTAGTTATAAACAAAGGAACCGTCCTGCAAAGCAGGAGCAGCAGAAGCAGCAATGGTTGGACAGCACTGCCTGGCATGTCTTGAGCTCAGTGTGGGACCACACTGACACATGAGCTCACTCCCTTATTCATGCACAGCCTTCAGCCATCCACACTAAATAGGAGTTGGCTCTTCTTAAACAGAAATCCAGGAGGTGAACAAATCTTGCATATCTCATGGACAGCTAGGACCAAGCTCAACCAGATACCAGCAATTTACACTTCTAAACGGATTACAAAGACAAGGGGGATGAAGAGTGGAACCCTGGAGATGCAGATCTACACATCAGGATCTTTCAAAACATGAAAAACCAAGTATTAAAATACAAGTCAAGACTTTAGAGTTTTTCATCATTTGGAGAGAACAAAAACCTCAAACACTAATAATTTCTGAAAATTCTTATTAAAAGGACTAGATATATGTATTATGCTGTTAGCAAATTCATGTTGGATAGTCTTTTCCTGAAGGGGAAAAATACATTATTAAGCCAGACATTAAAGTGGAAAAGAGTATTTGAGAAACCAAAAGGATTTTTATCCTTAATTAGGATTTATGTAATTTAAAATGCAAATTTTGAGATCTCTTTTCCCAGCCAAAACTTAGAACTTACAGCCAAAAGTTAGATATACAGCAACTGTCAAGTTAGTACAAAGAAACAGAAGTTAATATACACACTTTTTTCTCTTTAAACTTCATGTGAGCCACGATGTTAATTTCTATTTTACACCTGTTTTTGAAGTCATGAGCAGCTTATCTCCTCTTGACTGCTGTTATGCAAAGACATAATTATTAGACATTTATCTCATACAATGTTACATTAAAAACCAACACATTGATAAATTGAAAACACTAATGTATGTTATAAATCTAAGAGTATGCAGTTGTCACAGACAATGCTAGAAAAACTGAAAAATATTGATAAAACACCAACCTAGCGCAGATTTAAAAAAACCTCTTTAAATACTGTGCACTGTTTGTGAGGTTCTGGGATGTTTAAAATATAACTAACAAACTCAATCCCCATGTTTAGAAGGGAGCCATATGTTCACTTCACAAATGATGTACAGCTTTGCATCAGACATTGTTAGTGCACAGCAGGTGAACCTGAACTTGTGAACAATCATCAGTTATTTCAGTGCAAAGTCTGGCACGTCAGCATGAACAACATGGCAGATTTAAGTTAAGCCACCTAACCTTGCATGGGAAAAGATGCTTCTTCCTTGTTGCTCAATAAGAGCAACTACACCTGCTAGAGCCCCAGTCCTCTGATATTACTCTCTCTAAACACCAGTTCACAGGTACAGGTCTTCATTGTCTCTTGCAATAAAACTCCACATCCATAGGGGGTTTTTTAGTGAAGGTCTACAACACCCAGATGAGAATTATGTGGTTAAAAGCACAGTATGTGACAAGGAATTGATTTTTTGTTTGCTTCCAAGTTACTCTTTAACAAAACAATAAAAATGAGCAGTAGCGAGTGCTGCACATATATTTTATCCCTTTCCTATATTGCACACATTCTTCAAATAATGTGCTTTGTAACAGGCTAAAAAATTCTGCCTCAATTTTCTCCATCAGACAGTTAGAAGTCTAGAAATATTCC